GGAGACCAAAGTTCTTCAAAAGGCGGTAAAACCAAATCAAAGATTAAAGCCTTGGATTGTCCAAAGAAGATATCAAATCCAAAGAGATGATCAAATCGCCCACACGGAGACCAAAACCCTCTAAAGATGATAAAGCCAAACCAAAGATCAAAGCCTCGGATCGTCTAAAGAAGATATCAAATCCAAAGCCGATGATCAAATCGCCTACACGGAGACCAAAGTCCTCTAAAAACAGCAAAGCCAAAGCAAAGACCAAAGCCTCCGATCGTCTAAAGAAGACATTAAATTCAAAGCCAACGATTAAATCGCCCACACGGAGACCAAAGCTCTCCAAAAGACCGCAAAGCCAAATCAAAGATCAAAACCTCGGATCGTCCATAGAGGACATCAAATCCAAAGACGGTGATCAAATCGCCCACACGGAGACCAAAACCCTCCAAATGCGACAAAGCTAAACCAAAGATCAAAGTCTCGAATCGTCTAAAGAAGACATCAAATCCAAAGTCGGTGATCAAATTGCCCACACGGAGACCAAAGTCCTCCAAAAGCGGCAAAGTCAAAGCAAAGATCAAAGTCTCTGATCGTCTAAAGAATACATTAAATCCAAAACTGATGATCAAATCGCCCACACGGAGACCAAAGCTCTCCAAAAGGCAGCAAAGCCAAACCAAAGATCAAAGCTTCGGATCGTCCAAATAGGACATCAAATCCAAAGTCGACCATCAAATCGCCTGCACGGAGACCAAAATCCTCCAAAGTCCGGCAAAGTCAAACCGAAGACAAAATCTCTTCGGATCAAAGAAGCCATAAAAAAAACCAAGTTGAAAAACAAATCGACCCGGAAAAAAAATCAAATGACTCGTTTAGAGAACATGATCAGCTTTAAATCCAAATTAAATATAATTTATACAAATTTTTATGTTTATTAAAAATAACATAATTTTTTGTCAACAATATTATATGATAAATATTGTATTAATAATTGATTTGCCCGAAAAATATTTTGTATTCTATAATATATAGTTTTTATTACAATAAGTTACTTAAATTATATTATTTCCGTCCTATGTATTCTACAATATTTTCTATTTTAGTCCGTCAAACTTACATTGAAATATTTTTAAAATAGAAAATAATTAATTATTTTTTATCTCATCACATCATTTCAAATAAAAAATATATACTCCTTTTGTCCTCGGAAGAAGAGATCATTTGATTTTGCACGTTGATTTTTAAATATTCTTATTATATTGATTTTGTAGTGTAAAAGATAAAAATACCTTTCTTAGTATTATGTAATATAAAAGCAATAACATTTGTATAATATATTTTAAGTTAAAAGTTATTACGTTAAGTAGGTAATATAGTTACTAAATTAGAAAACAGAATTCTTGTTTTGAAACAAGTAGAAATAGAAAATGATATACTATTTCTTATGGGACAGAAGGAGTATATATATTTTTTTCTCATCACGTCACTTAATTCTCATTTTATTCTACTTAATATTATTCATTTAGATTTTCATATCTAAAATTAAATCTTTCACCGTATATGAGACGAATGAAATATTATTTAAAAATTATTTAAATCATGCGACGCAGTAATATGTACTCGCTCCGTCCAGCTTGAATGGTCTCATTTACCTTTCTCCGTCATTATACTTAACATTAAAAATATCTTTATATTTCTATAATTTTTTACACAAATGTCATTATAATAGTATTATAAAACACTAATAGAAGTTTTTTTGTCATTTTTCTTAATTTGTACTATGTTTTCATATAATAATTAATATTCAAATATCAATACACAAAAAGTAAATGGCACCCTTAGAGCCGGACGTAGGTAGTTTTATGCGGTAATTATTTTTATTAATATATTTTTAATTATTTATCAATTATATTTTTATTTAAATTAAAGGGTGTGTTTCTTTAGTCTCAAATTCCCAAATTTTTACTATTTGATCTCTGCGTTCTTTAAAAAAAAATTTTTTTTTCACAATATCACGTCAAATATTATTTTAATATCAAACTCAAATTAATTTTTTTTTCCCAAACCAATAAAAAAAACACACTTGTATCTATAAAATTAAAAAATCCTGCCAACAAAGCCTTGACTTTAGAATCCATTTGCGTTACTGAGCTGGCACAAGGGCCAGGGAGTTCATTGAGACAAGTATCTTGTGCCTTTTGTTTTGGCTCAATTTACTTATATTTTTTTAGAACGTTTTTTTGTCCACTAGGAAGTTTTTTATTTGTATTTTTCATACATGTTAAAGTAAATTAAGTATTTTATAATTATTTAGTATGATAAAATAAAATAATATTTATTTTATCTTTAAAAAATAATATAAAAATAAAAAATAAAAATATTTTGATATTTAATTAAAAATTATTTTTATTAGAAAAAATAAAATTTTTTGTTTTGAACAGATTAAAATAAAAAAAAAATTATTCTTGACGAAAAGAGTATTATTTATAATAATAATTTTTTAAAATTGCTTAATATATTTTTATTAAATATTATTAATAACTTTTTATTTTTAATACAATAATTATTAAATAAAATAATCTCTATAAAAATATATATTTTTTCTTTGAATATTGAAGTGGAAAACCAACTTCGAATTCACCTCCAAACAAATTGATTTGACATTTCAAATGCCATTTTGTATTGTGCAAATATATTCTCACATCATCAATTTTAGGGATGTCAACTGGGTTCGGGACGGGTTCTGCAGGCCCCAAGATCCGCCCCACTAGAAAATATTAAGCTCCGAGACCCGCCCTGCCGCACTTCCACCCGGCCCCAGGATCTACCCCGCTCCGAACCCTCCGGGTTCGGGGCCAACCCGGCAAATACCTTTTTTTTTTAAATATATAATAATAAATATTTTTTTAACAATCGAATACTAAAACAAATAGAATTAAAAGCACAAAAAAAAATCTAAAAACAATCAAATATTGATCCATAAAAATAAGATAAATAAATAATATATTTTTATTATATAAATATACATATATTAGGTATAATAATTTTAAAAAAAATTATTTAGAGCAGGCGACTAATTGAATTTTATATTTAAAATTATTTAAGTAAATAAATAATATATTTTTATTATATAAATAGGCGGGTTAACTCCGGACCCGCCCCGGACCTGCTCTTAATGGGGCGGGTTCGAGTCTAAATAATATATTCGACGGATTGTGGATTTAAAATTTTAAATTCGGTCGGATTCGGGGCGGGTTACGGGTTTTACTAAAAATCCGCCACAACCTGAACCCGGACCCGAACCCGGATATTTTGTTGATACTACAAACTAAAGTCAGGATTGATTGTGTTATACTCCCTATATTGTTTTTATTTTTATTTTTTGTCTTAATAAAATGTGTATTTCTTATTTATAGACTTGTAGTAAATAATTTTTATTCATTTTTTAATTAATACTTTTTATATTATATTTATTTACAAAAATATTATAAATACTTATACTCCCATCTATAAAAAAAAATAAAATATATTCCAATTCAAATGAATATATATGGAAAAATAATTTCTATATAAGTAGAATTGAATATATTATAAAAATGGGATCAAACATATTGGATTAAGTTTGAATTTTCCCCTTATTAAAAGTATATTTTTCCTTTTAAAAATTTGATTAAATCCATCGCTCACCATGACCTTATGGTCACAAGTCCAACCCCAGCACTATCAAGTCATCTCTTACGGGAAAAATTAAGGGTGTGTTTGTTTGGGGGTTTGGATTTTGAGTTGGGATTTGAATAGTAAAAATTTTGAATTTGAATAGTTGTATGATGTGATATAAATAGGTGTTGATGTGATGTTTTGAATGTAAAATTAATTTTTAGTATAATATAAAAAATGAAAAATAAGTGTTTGATTTGATATTTTTGGGAGAAAAGAATTAGATAAACAATAGAATTTTGTTAAAATTCTACACACGAGCACACCCTAAATATATTATTATAAACTTAAACTGAGGGTTTGATACAAAGCCCAATTAATAGACATTTAAAATGGCCCAAGAGTTCGTTGTAATGGTTTGAATAAAAGAGAGATCCTACAAGTTGTCTGATTAGATTTATACCTATGGTTTTCTTTAATTCTTATTTTTCTTTCTTCTTATTTTTTTATTAACAGAATCTATTTTAAGTAGAATTGATGGTTGGTTGTATTTTTTTATTTTTTTATTTTTTTTATAACGTGGTAATCGCAGTCGCTACCTGATAATGTAAATATTTGGTTGTATTTTCACCATAAATAAATGGTTTATCGAATGAATATTTTTTTGGTTGTATTTCAATTTTACCTATGATCTTTTTAAGGTTTTGTTTATATGTTTAATTTTAAAAAGTTTATAAAACTTTTTTTTAAAAAAAAATACAGAATACTTATTTTATTTAACAAAATATTAATAATATGTTTGTTTTGTGAAATGTTTTGAAAATAAACTTTTTTACGTGAAATATGAAAAATTACGTCAAAAAAAAATATATAAAAATATACATATAATATATTACTCCTCTGTCTCAGTTACTGTGTCCTTTTTATCCTTTTTACCTTAGATAGGAAAATTTAAAATGAGTAAAATCAATAAATAATTAAGAATATATTAATAAAAATAATTATTGTGTAATAATTTTTTTTTAAATTAAGATTAATATAATTAATTAGCCTAATTAAAATTTTTTAAATAAAATTAAATAATATAATTGACAAATGAGACTGATGGAGTAATTTTTATTTTTTATTTTTAATGACCGGAGAGAGTAATATTTTTTAATATATATAATCATGGACTCGTATGGGCTATGGCAATGGGCAAGAATGTGCTTGGATTGGAGTTCTGTATTAATATAAATAAAAATTTGACATAAAAATATAATTTGAAAATTATTTTTAAAGTTAATATTGAATATAATTATTTTAAAATATAGATTTAAGTAATTTACGTTCCCTTTCGTAAATCATCCAAACGCTTCCGAAAGTATTTTTTAGTTTTTCTCTTCATTTCCTCATATTCAGATATATATACATATATACAGACATATATATATTTCATTTCTATGTTGGTTGTTCGATCGGGGATTCACAGACGATTCAATTTATCGGAGTTTCATTCGACCTCGACATTAGAAGGCATAGTCGTCAATGGCGTCGCAGATTGTAAGACGACTCGCTAGGAGCCGGGCGTGTGGAATTTTCTCCTCTCGAAGCCCTAGTTTTGCCGATCGGAGTTTCTCCTCGGATTCCAATCTGATCCGTGCCACTCTCTTCCCGGGAGATGGAATCGGGCCTGAGATCGCTGAATCAGTCAAACAGGTAAGGCAACCGCTCCCCAATTCCGATTTATGTTTATGTCTTCAGCCTGTATTATTTTTTCACGTTGTTTTGCCTTTTGGGGAGGTGCAATGATTAGTTTGACTGGTAATGCACGCGTGATTTTGTTGAATTTTGATATGTTGTGCATGTGTAGATTTATTCGTTGCTTTTTGTCCGGTGATGTGTGGCTAATTCCAAGTTCTTTATTTGCCTTATAATTCCGTTTGAAGCTTGTTGGATTCTGCTGCGGTAAATATGACGATGAGTCGTTTCATTTATTTTTATTGGTTGATATGTAAAAGAAATGTTTGATTAGAAGAAGGGAAAAGCAAAGACAGTATATGTCTGGTTGAGAAGAAAATGGCTATTGGAGGAATTTATTCAATCATGGTTTTATATTCTGAATTCAGATCTATCTCAGAGGGCTTGTCACATTTATTTTTATGGACAATCAATCATTTTCATATATTTTCAACAGGATTAGACAGTGTACTTTGATTGTTCTATCTTAGATGCGAAAAACTAGTGAAGGATATGTCTGAATCCTAAAACAAATAGGGAGAAACTTGTACCTCAAAGCTCAGGGTTTCAACATGACAGTCATTTTCTGAAAACTCAATTTCAAAGTAATTTTAAGACAGGTTGCACTTGCACCCAAAGCTAGGGTATTGCTACGTTAATGGTTTTTGGGTATGGTGGTTTATGCATAGACTAAATTTGTTCATTTTTCGTCAATCAGGTCTTATCTTCCAGGTATCAAAGCATTAAGTAAAGATTCCCCAGTGTGATGTGTTTCAATGCCTTTTCTTTATTCATACAATATCTGAGATACTGTCTCATAATTGTTATCCATTTATTTGACATGATATTTTAGTAATATTCCCTTAAAGTTGAGGCCCGTGGTTGATGTGCATTTCTTGTATGTCTCAAGGGAGACAGTTGGTGCCATACATATTGCTAGTGATTTGGGTGTTAGGTTAGGTAATTTGCAAGATGCAAATTATTTAATTTTACCACTGCTTCATGCTGTCAGCTAACAAACATGCCAAGAAGCATAAAAAATTAATTCTCTTTAGGGTAATCGTTTGTTGAGATTGTCAATTTTGGTGGATTTTTGCCTTTCTGATTCTTTAGGATGTTATTAGAATGCTCTCTTCTAGATTAGGGATCACTTCAATTCTGACTGTATAATTAGCATGAAATGTTTTCAAAGCACTATGCTGCCAAATAAAAGAGTCCTTAAGATGTAGTCAATTTCCAGGTGTTCAAAGTAGCTGATGTGCCTATTGAATGGGAAGAACACTTTGTGGGAAAGGAGATAGATCCGAGAACCCAAAGTTTTCTGACATGGGAGAGTCTAGAATCTGTGAGACAAAACAAAGTTGGTTTGAAGGGACCTATGGCAACGCCAATTGGAAAGGGTCATCGCTCTCTCAACCTTACCTTAAGGAAAGAGCTCAATTTATATGCTAATGTCAGACCTTGTTACAGCCTTCCTGGATACAAGACCAAATATGATAATGTAGATCTCATTACCATCCGTGAAAATACAGAAGGGGAATACAGTGGCCTTGAGCATCAAGTAAGTTTTCTCCGTGGCGTATAAATTAACATTAAGCAAAGAATTTGTTGCTCATTTCATAGAACCTCTCTTTTTGTAGGTGGTGAGAGGTGTCGTTGAAAGCCTCAAGATCATTACACGCCAAGCAAGTCTGAGGGTTGCAGAGTATGCTTTTCACTATGCCCAGACGCATGGACGAGAAAAAGTATCGGCAATACATAAAGCCAATATCATGCAGAAAACTGATGGTCTTTTCCTTAAGGTCTTCTTCCATACAATTAATTGATTGTTGATGCATATTTTATTAAGTTCACCTGTCTAAAGTTTTATTTGTTTTTACTTCAGTGCTGTCGAGAGGTGGCAGAAAAGTATCCTGATATAAAATACGAAGAAGTTGTGATCGATAATTGCTGTATGATGGTATGTGAAATAGTTCTTGCACCAAAAATGCTATTCCCCTGGGGAAAAAGAAAAATCTTGGGACAGCTTGTCGCAATATGGACATTCTATAAAATGCATTTACGTCATCGATTTGATATAAACTCTGACCCCTCCAAGGATGCGCTATGCAAGTAAAATAATTCTCATTCCCATGTGCAGCTTGTTGTGAACCCATCAGCTTTTGATGTTTTGGTGATGCCCAATCTGTATGGTGACATAATAAGTGACCTTTGTGCCGGTTTGATTGGAGGCTTGGGATTAACTCCCAGGTAATTTCTTCATTTTTTACTTGGTTTCTTTTAAGGGTCCTTTACGTCAACTAATTTCATTTAATCTTCTCAATTAAAGTTGCAATATTGGTGAGGGAGGCATTGCTCTTGCTGAGGCAGTACATGGTTCTGCACCTGATATTGCTGGAAAGGTGTGCACCATGACAACTCTATACTCTCTCGATAATTTTTCTGCATAGGTTGCCCAGATTGATTTCGTATATTATGTAGGCTTTTTTTGGTCTTCTTTATATAAACTTTACCATATTGCTTGTGCATTTGTATATCAAAATTTTATTACATTCATATACCATAGCATTTTCGGATCTACTTTATCATAAATCCATCAGACGCCCATGCGATAGTGGTTATGCTTTTTAAAAATAGGGACCACTGGTTCGTATTCGTTAGCAATCTCGGTTGAGTTCTTTCACCAGGCTCTTACTACAAGCTTAGAATGAACAATAAAAATTAAGCTAGCTTTAGTAGACTTTTAGCTGTGGGTTAAGTTCCTGTATGTGTTTCCCTACTCTATTCATTTTAACAGATAGACTTGCTGTCGGGCCAACTATCGAAGTTGATTATCATGTCTGAACTCATATGCTAAATGAATTGTCTGAAAGAGCTTTCAACCATGCTCAAATCGTCCTGCGAACTTGCCTGTTTTCTTAAACTTCATCCAGCTCCTTTTACTCGTGTAGGAATAATTAAATATGCGATGTTCGCTACAGTGAATTATGCTTTAATGAGCTGATTGATTCCATTTCAGACCTATCATTTTGTGAAATGCATGCACCTCTGTGAAAAGGAAAATGATTAGAGGAACAACAATATTACCTGTACTTATCAGTGAGAACTCCATTGATATAACAGCTGCAAGTTTTACCATTGATCTTTCTAGGAAATTCAGGCGCTTAGTAAATTATTTGTTACTTCTGTTGACCCTTTTTTATCTGTCGGTATATAAGATAATGATATATATATTGATGCAGAATTTGGCAAATCCCACCGCCTTACTCCTGAGCTCTGTCATGATGCTTCACCACTTGGAACTCCATGAAAAAGCCGACAAAATCCAGGATGCAGTCGTGAATACGATTGCAGAAGGGAAGTACAGGACAGGCGACCTTGGCGGAAAAGCAACCACAACTGAATTCACCAACGCTATCTGCGATCATCTTTGAGCGCGATTCTGCTTATGTACATGTGATTTTTGGAACAAAAAGATTGTTTGAGATGATTCTTACAACACAAAACCGCGACAGAGACACACTCTCTCTCACACAAGTAACTCATGAAGCATAATTCCTTCCCTCTGATATTTTGCTGGTTGAAGCAAATAAGATTATTGTAGCTGCTCGTTAAATTTCGGAGCAATGCAAACTTGGCCTTCCCTTTTTCTGCTCTTATTAGCACTATTTGTTGTCTTTTATTATTTTCAGCTCAAAAGATTATCAAAATGTTAGATGATTATCATCTAGAAAATCGAAATTTTTTCTGCATTTTTAGTTATGGTTGCTTGTGTTTTGGTTTTGTTCTTATGTTGGTTGAATTAGTTGTCAGTGTTATTCTGAATTGAAAATTATTGTTCAGTTGTTTTTTCAGATAAAAATGATAGATCGAAGAATACAAAAATAAATTTATATAAATGTTTTAAAGTTAGTTGAAGTTATAACTAAGTGTTATCTTACTTTCTTCTTCAGATTTTGTTTTTAAGAAATTGTATTGAGAAAATAAAAAAATAAAAAATTCCTTTTGGTTAGTAAAGCTGTTTTGGATTGTTTCAAATGATATTGTTTAAAAATATACGATAATATGGTGGTTTTATAATACTAATAGAAGAACATGACCCTTATAGCTGAGGGAGAAAGAGTATATTTTAATTTTTAGTAAAATATATCATTCAAAATATAATAGTAAATATATGCATTATTATATATAAGTATCATTTTATATTTTGTCTCTTCAATAAATAAATATACTTATCTATATTTAAAATGTTTTACTATTTTTTTTTAATAACATTAGTTAATGTAAATCATAAAAATTATTTATGAATTTATCTATATCATATAAAAATTTATTCACTATGAATAATATACACATATATATATTATTAAAATATTATTTTTAAAATTATAAATTTTTTTTATTCATTACAAAATTTAGTAAATATTTTAAAATTATCAATAATACTACTAATATAAAAATAGTCTGTAATATTGTAATATTAAAATGGTAGATAAAAGTAAAGTAATTCTATTATAAAAAATTTACCAAATAATTGATAAAAGATAAATGTAATAAATAGTAATAAATTAATCATTATTTATTAAATTAAGAATATTAAATTTATAAGTAAATAAATTTTTTTATTATTACTAAATTATGCAGTGACAAACAAATAATAATATAATTTTAGAAAAAAAATATATCATTATTCATAATTATTAAGTAAGTGATTACCTTAAATAGGATACCTACCACTAACAAAATATATCGATCTATCTAAAACAGAAGAAGACATTTACTTATATCATATAAAATATACTTCACTCGTCCTACTTACCGTGTCTATCTTTTCATTTTCGTTTGTTTGACACTTTGAAAAGAATTATACATTTTAATCTCGTAAAAAAGTTTAATTTATGATTTTATAAATTTTAATTAGATTAATTAGTTATCTTAAATTTAATCTAAAATTATTTTTATTATACAATAAGTATTTTTACTAATACATTCTTAATTATTTATTAATTAATTATACTCCTTCTAAATTTTTCGTATCTACAATAAAAAAAAATACACAGGTAGCTGGGATGAAAAGAGTAATAATGTTGTAATTGTTATAAGTAATAATAATATAATATAGATGTATTATTATATGTATGTATTAATATATATAAAGAAAGTGTGAGGGGGCAGGTAGGAGTAGATATAATTTTTATCTCGAATGAATCTTAACCAAAAGATCAATCCCATATTTATAGGCAATAAGGAATACCAATACTGGTGTAAAATGAGCCACGTCGCCCGTCCATTCCAATGCACATCGACGTGATGTGTATCATTTGTTTACCACACTCCCCCTTGGACGGGTATTATTATACACAGAATGTGCCTCGTTAAAACCTTACAATGAAAAAACCCTGTGGGAAAAAATTATAGTGAAGGAAAAAGAATACATCATTCTTGTATTGATTTTCTTCCCCTGATTTGAACTTTTACTTGAGATCTTTAAGCCGACGCATTTCAATTCCTTTCACCAGTTTGTTGAATGTTGTTGTCGGTAGAGACTTGGTTAATAAATCTGCAAGATTTCAAATGATCGGATCTGTTGCGCATCAATATCACCATTCTTTTGCAGATCGTGAGTAAAGAAAAACTTTGGGGAAATATATTTTGTTCTATCTCCTTTAATGTATCCGCCCTTTAACTGAGCAATGCAGGCTGCATTGTCTTCATATATAGTCGTTGGGGGATTTTCGTTTTCCGATATTAACCCACAATTCTTTTTAATAAGATAGGTCATCGATCTCAGACAAACATATTCTCGACTCGCTTCATGAATAGCCAATACTTCGGCATGATTTGATGATGTGGCAGTTATTGCCTGCTTCGTGGATCTCCAGGAAATCACAGTGTCGCCATATGTAAATATATAGCCGGTTTGCGATTTTGCTTTGTGCGGGTCAGACAAATACCCAGTATCAGCATAGCCTAATAACTCATGTTGAGAATCATTCGAGTAAAATAGGCCAAGATCACTTGTCCCTTGAAGATAACGCAAAATATGCTTAACCCCATTCTAATGTCGTTTGGTAGGAGATGAACTGAATATGACCGATAGATTTACTGCAAATGCAATATCTGACCTAGTGCTATTTGCTAGGTACATAAGTGCACCTATTGTACTGAGATATGGTACTTCTGGACCAAGTATCTCATCATCATCTTCTTTTGGTCTAAATGGATCCTTGTTAGGATCAAGTGACCTGACGATCATTGGGGTACTTAATGAATATGCTTTATCCATATAAAATCGTTTAAATACCTTCTGGGTATAGGCGGTTTGGTGGATGAATATTTCATTATCCACATATTCAATTTGCAGACCAAGACAAAACATTGTTTTTCCAAAGTCTTTGATCTCAAATTCTCTTTTCAGATATACCACGGCTGATTAGAGCTCTTTAGGAGTCCCAATAATATTGAGATCATCAACATACACTGCAATGATCACAAACTGTGACCCATTTTTCTTTATGAAAACACATGGACATATTGGGTCGTTCGTGTAACTTTCTTTAGTTAAACACTCAGTGAGGCGGTTATACCACATGCGTCCAAACTGTTAAGTCCATACAGAGACTTTTGTACTTTAATGGAGTAACATTCTCTAGGATTTAATTTGCATGCTTCAGGCATGTCATATCCTTCAGGGATTTTCATATAAATATCATTCTCCAGTGAGCTGTACAGATAAGTAACTACGTCCATAAGGCACATATCAAGTTTTTCGTGCACGGCTAGGCTTACTAGGTATCTGAATGTGATACCATCCATAACTGGAGAATATGTTTCATCATAATCAACCCCAGGTCCTTGTGAGAATCCTTGGGCTACAAGTCTCGCTTTGTATCGGACAATTTTATTGTCCTCATTTCTCTTTCTCACAAATACTCATTTGCACCCAACTGGCTTAACACCTTCCGGTGTTGGAATTATAGGTCCAAAGACATTTTTTTTGGTCAGTGAGTCTAATTCAGACTGGATCGCATCTTTCCATTTTGGTCAATCGTTTCTTTTCCGACATTTATCAATTGATGTTGGCTCGGGATCCTCTTCATTTTCCATTATATCGAGTGCCACATTATATGAAAATGCATTATCAATTATTGTTTCATTTCGGTTCCAACTCTTTGTAGTGGTAAAGTTAATTGAATTTTCAATAACTTCATTTTATTCTGAGGTAGGCTCTTCAGGAGCATTATCTTCAAGTATTTGCTCTATATCACTACAAATTGTTTGAGGGACTAAATCATTGTTCAATATCCTTTTCTTTCGGGGATTTTTATCCTTGGAACCTACATGTCGCCACGTTTCAGGTGCACAGATGATTCATTGGCACTTTTCATTTGTCCTTCTGGGACATTTAGTTTTGCCGGTGCATTTTCTGCAGGAATATACGACCTGGTCACTCTGCTGGAGTCATTAAATGCATCCGGTAATTGATTTGCAATTTGTTGCAAGTGTATAATTCTTTGTACTTCTAATTCACACTGCCGTGAACGAGGATCCAGGAAATTCATAGGTATTTTCCAAGAAATTTCATTTTTCAGTTGATTTTGTTCTCCCCCTAATGTCGGGAAATTTGTTTCGTCAAAACGACAATCTGCGAATCGCACAGTAAACAGATCACCCGTCATTGGTTCGAGGTACTTAATTATCGACGGTGATTCATACCCGACATAAATTCCCAAACGGCGTTGGAGGCCCATTTTTGTATGCTGAGGTGGTGCAATTGGCACGTAAACTGCGCATCCAAAAATCCTCAGATGAGATATATTGGGCTCTTTTCCAAACACTAATTGTGTTGGGGAGTATTTTTGATAGCTTGTCGGTCTTATTCGCACAAGTTCTGCTGCATGTAATATTGCATGTCCCCAGGCAGAAACGGGGAGTTTGGATTTCATCAGTAATGGTCTGGAAATTAATTGCAATCTCTTGATAAAGGATTCTGCTAGACTATTTTGGGTGTGAACATAAGGAACTGGATGTTCCACAGTTATCCCCAAAGTCATGCAATAATCGTCGAATGCTTGTGACGAATATTCACTAGCATTGTCGAGACGAATTTTCTTTCTTGGATAATCAGGAAATTGTGCTCGCAGTTTAATTATTTGTGCAAGCAACTTTGCAAACGCAATATTACGCGTAGATAACAAGCATACGTGTGATCATCTTGTTGATGCATCAATGAGCACCATAAAGTATTTAAATGGCCCACATGGTGGATCTACAAGTCCACATATATCAACCTGAATTCTTTCCAGAAATGATGGCGATTCAATCCCAACTTTGGTCATGCAGCACACGTGAATTCATTTGAATTCAAGATCTTTCGATCTTTCAATGAATGGCCAGTGGAGTTTTCGATTATTCGCCTCATTATAGCATTTCCAGGATGCCCGAGCCGATCGTGCCAAATTGAAAATTCATTTGATTGCGTAGATTTCAGGTCTACTGCATATGTTTCAACGGTACTTATTTTGGCATAATACAAGCCAGAGGACAACGAGGGCAATCTCGCAACTGCACATTTATTTCCATTGATGATTTTTGTAATCACCAAATATTCATTATTTGCCTCGTCCATTGTTTCAATATGATATCCGTTTCTACGAATATCAGTGAAACTCAGCAAATTTCTTCAAGCTTTACTCGAGAACAGTGCATTTTGTATTTCGAGCCTGATTCCTTCGGGGAAACAGATAAGGGCTCTTTCAGAGCCTTCAATTGTTGCACTGCCACTTATTGTGCTGACTTTTGATTTTCCCAACTTCAGGTGGGAGAAATGCCTTTTGTATTTCAATATTGTGTGCGTAGTCGCACTATCAATTAGGCAAATATTGTCTTCTTTATAATGTGTATTTTGACACGTGACTTCATATTCGTGCCGGAAAAGCTGATCGTGCTGATAACGTGTTATAAATAATAATAATATAATATAGATGTACGGCGTGTAAGTATATATATATATATGTATGTAATGATTACTTATATATTATAATAATATATGTATGTATTAATATATATATAAAGAGAGTGTGAGGGGGGTAGAAGTAGATAGAATTTTTATTTCGAATGAATTTTAACTGAAAGATCAATCCCATATTTATAGGCAATAAGGAATACCAATACTGGTGTAAAATGAGTCACGTTGCCCGTCCATTCCAATGCACATCGACGTGATGTGTATCATTTGTTTATCACAGTAATAATATTTTTTTATAAATACTTTATTTGTTCCTTTAATAATTTATTAATTTTTTTATTTTTATCCGTTCATAATAAAATATCTATAGTAATCGTACTTTTTACTAATATTAAAAATACCTCTATAACTTACCATATATTACCAATATAGGCAGAGGACGAAGAGAAGATTTAATAATTTTAAATTACAAAACTACCGCTCCAACCAAATGCAAGTATGCAACCCTCGGCATTTCATTGGTTTAAAATTTCGTGTTGGACAGGTGGGAGTACGCGATTGGATAGTTCTTGGTTTCCCACTGGACCTCAATTCCCGGACCTCTCACCAATCATATGTCCTAGTCCATCAGTTGCTTTGTCCATTGTCGGGACTAAAAGTGAATGAATATATTCATAAGTGGGTGGGTGAATTCTATATAAAAACGTTATCAATGAAATAAAAAATAACTCATTAATTATATATCTCAAATTTATTAAATTATACTATTAAAAAATCAAATTATACGCAAAATTTGTCTAACACATTCGTGAGAATTTATTAAAATTAAAATTGAAAATTTATTTATTTTAAATAAAATTATACCCCGTTCACCTAAAACGTAGAGCGTGCCAAATTACCTGATTCTCTGGGACAGTAGATCCGACGGCGATCAGCGCCTTTCTGCTACGCAATAAGTTGATCTTAGCCGTCCAAAATGTTTTCCGATTTTACCCCTAACTACCACCACCAATCGTACTTCTGCACTATATATATTCAATTTGAAGCAGCTCAACTGCTTTGCCTGACTCGCGCGCCTCCACCACTCAAGCATATCGCTCAAAGACAGTCACAGTTGGATCTCGAATTGTTCGTGGAGGCGGCAATGGACTACGAAGGAATTCTGCTTGGGATGGGCAATCCACTTCTGGATATTTCCGCCGTTGTGGATCAAGAGTTTTTAGACAAGTAAGTTTAGTGATTGCTGCTCGTTTCAAATTGCACTTGTCGACATTTTGGTGCTTCGTATTTTAGATTTAGATCTGGCGTTTCGTGAGTGAGGTTTTAGTTTTGACAGATTTGTGTGTGCGTGGTGTCGATTGTGTTGCTCTCTTACCTGTTTTATCGGATGAATAGTGCGTCTTCAGCTTGTTTGCGTAGATCTCTGATTTCGAATTTGTAGTTTGGACAATCTTCATGATGAGTTGTGCTGATTTGATGAAGTGGAGCGGATAATCTGAAGGTAATTTAATTTCTATTGGTTGACAGGTATGGCCTTCGCCTGAACGATGCAATTCTAGCCGACGAAAAGCACAAACCTATGTGAGTAGTATTTGTTCAATTTGTTCCATAGTGTACTCTGCAACCTGATTATTTGATTTATATTTTGGAGAAAAAAAAAATAGAATAGTAAAATTCTGAATCAATTTGTTTAACTGATTTGCTCTTGCTTCTATGTTCTGCTTGCCTTGATAGTTAGTTTCTTCTTCTGATCAAGCCATGGTGTGGTGTCTCTTTGGGGTGGTCGGTAGTAACTTTCAGTTGAGAATCTGGCTCAATTGGCTCAATTAAAACCAGGACCAAATTTTGTATCATTTCTAGATAGAAATGGATGCCCGGTACATGCATAAAATTTAATAAGTTGAGACTTGAGAGTATAATCTCGTACGTTTAGGGTTTTGGAGAACATTCAAAATTATGGTCACTAATTTATCTCGTTTAATTAAACTATTATTATGAATCTAAAGTGTATCTTAATTAATTTGGATGATTTAATCCAAATCTCATGTAAGCTTCTTGAACTATAAGTTAGACTTAGACTACTTTGGATTGTGTTTGGTTACTGGTTCAAATTGCAGTTGGAAAAGATTTATATAATTAATGGTATTTGCTTTATAATATAATACTACATGTTCTTGTAAAAAAATTAAAATATTTTTAATTATTTTAAAATTATATCTCAATAAAAGGTATACAATATAGATATTATTTTATAAAGAGTAAAATTTTATATAATATATATAGAGAGAAAATTGTAAAATATATAGTGTATACACCGTTATCATTTTTGTTCTTTAATTATCTTTGGCAAAATATATTTTAGATTTTTGCAAAATGCGTTATTTATGTCATTTGGCTGCGGGTGACGTTCACAGCATGCGCGATCACACGCGGTCAAATGATAAAAATAACGACTTTGCAAACATGTGATATGTATTTTATCAGTAAGATAAATATACGACAAAAGTGATAATGAAGTATATATGATAATATTTTTTGCAATTTTTCCTACATATAGATAAAAAATACGGTTCTATCATAAAGTATACACTTTGTCATTTTTGTTGTTCTCGTAACAAGATATATATATATATATTTTATTCTTTTTACTCCCTTCATCCCAAACAAATGTTCAGGTTACTGTAGACACGAGATTTAGATAAAATATAATTAATAAGTGTATTAATAAAAATAATATTTATATAATAAAAATAATTATAGATTAAGATTAAGATAATTAAATAGTTTAATTAAAATTAAATATAAATTTAAAATTTAAAATTTAAAATGTAATTAAAATGTATAATTATATTTAAAAAAAAAACAAATTATATGAGATAGACAAAAATAGAAACATCAACCCTTGTGTAGTAGATTTGACTACATTGCATATTATAAATACTCTTAAACTTACATTTATTTACTTCAATATTATTAAATCAAACTAAAACACAAATGATACAAATATTTTAAATAAAAATACTATCAACTACCATTTAAATAATATTATTCTTTAATTTATGGACAGAAGGAATATATATTTATACATAACTAACATAAATTAATTTTATAAAAAATTATAATTTTGAATATATATATATATGTATATGTACGTATTTTTATTCATTAGAATCTATTTAGGAAAATATTAAAATAAAATGAGAGCCTAATATCAAACTCAAACACACCCAAAACATAGTGTCTACTTGAAGTGAAGTGGTAATCAAATACACCAAATCTTTGTACGTTAATTAACACATCAAGATGAAATAATTGCATATACCCTAAAATAGTAAACATGGCCTTATATGATTGTTTTTAATGACACTCATATAAGAGGTGTAATAGGAAGCATGGTCCTATGCAAAATGTATTTATAGCTATATAGTTAGAGAATAATATGGGCTTATAATGTTGTAAAATTAGCGTGACAAGATGAATTATACTACTACTATTATTCAGGTATGAAGAACTGTCTTCCAAGCACAATGTAGAGTATATTGCTGGAGGTAATGGAATTTTCATCAGAAAGCAGGTGTTTCCTATTGGATATTACAATACATTGCATGCACTTTAGTATGACCCCTAGATTTTGTAACACAGTTGTTTTAATATCACAGGGGCTACTCAAAATTCAATCAGAGTTGCCCAGGTACACATGGCGTTCTTCTATATAAACAAACTCATTATTGTTACAGGCGGTGGCATTAGTTGCAAAATTCCAAACACCAGTATTGACGTTTAAATTGTTTTTTCAATAGTGGATGTTACAAATTCCTGGTGCCACTGCCTACATGGGTTCTATCGGAAAGGACAAATTTGGGGAGGAAATGAAGAAAAATGCACAGCAAGCTGGTGTCAAGGTAAGTATTTCTCTATATCCCTGTTCACTATTATAACTGTTGAGATACTCTGTATAGTTACCTACCTGTAGGCAGTAAGAGAGAGAGAGAGAGAGAAGATAGTTCTTATAGATGGCTACTAAAGTTTTCATCTTTGGTATGGTTGTGTAATATAGGTTCATTATCATGAAGATGAATCTCCAACTGGTACTTGTGGTGTTTGTGTACTTGGAGGTGAAAGGTAAGTTTCCTTCTAAGATGGCCACACACTATCTTGTTATTAACTAAAGGAATGGATTGATATATATATATATATATATATTCCAGGTCCCTTGTTGCCAATTTGTCTGCTGCCAATTGCTACAAAATTGATCATTTGAAGAAGGCAGAGAATTGGGCATTGGGTATGGTCCACACACACAGTGTATACTTACTTGTTGAGCTAAACTTGCTTAATTGGAAACATACTCTCATCCATCCATCTTTCAACAGTTGAGAAGGCCAAATACTACTACATTGCTGGATTCTTCCTCACAGTTTCACCCGACTCTATCATGCTTGTTGCCGAGCACGCAGCTGCTAAAAACAAGGTTAAAACTCTGTTGATTACGCTATGCATTGCCGACTTTAATGCTACACTTTTCCTAAACATTCATTCACATCACATGTACGTAGGTTTTCTGTACAAACCTTTCTGCTCCATTTATCTGTGAGTTCTTCAAGGATCGCCAGGACCAACTGATTCCGTAAGGCTGTTTATCTCGATTATTTAAGGTTGTGGTGGTACTGAATTATTTCCCTGCCATATATATATATATATATATATATTTTCCGGGTTTCAGATATGTGGACTACCTTTTTGGAAATGAGACAGAAGCAAGAACTTTCTCCAAGGCCCATGGTTGGGAGGTATTGTTTTCGATCTCTTCAGTTATATATGCATTTGTAAAGCTTAAAATTAAAATGCACCTGTGTTCCATTGAGCTGAACAGACAGAGAACGTGGAAGAAATAGCTCTGAAGATTTCGCAGCTGCCAAAGGCTTCGGGGACTCGCAAAAGAATTACTGTGATAACTCAAGGTGCAGATCCAGTAGTGGTTGCAGAGGATGGGAAGGTGAAATTATTTCCCTTGGCTCCCCTCCCAAAAGAAAAACTTGTGGATACCAACGGTGCAGGTGTGTGTGGATCGACGCATTCATTCATTCATTTCAATCCAGTATTGCGACGATCTAATTAAAATGCTTGCATGTGTTATATGTCATATTAGGCGATGCCTTTGTGGGAGGTTTCTTGTCCGAAATGGTGGTTGAGAAAGAGGTTGAAGTGTGCGTGAGAGCAGGTTGTTATGCAGCAAATGTGATCATCCAGAGGTCTGGCTGCACATACCCTCCCAAGCCTGATTACCACTGACAGTTACGGTGAGTTTTATTTTTGGGAACCTTACGTTGCTGCTCATTTATTTTTGTTGTTGCTTATGTTATGTTATGTATGTGCCTAAAGAACCCTCCTGATTTTGTTGTGTGTGTATGCTATATATAATAATATGTATTGCCCTTTTGTTCACCTATAATTGAAATTCGATTAATTGAATTTGAATTAAAAATTAGGGATGGCAATGGGCCGAGGCCTGACTCGGACCCCACCTATTTATTTAGGATCCGATTTAATTATTTGAATATCGGCTCCGGGTCGGGTATTTATCCTTACCGGGTCCAGATTGAATCTTTTGTCCAATTGGTGGACTCTATTCGGACCTGGACCCAATTAATATATTACTAATGTATATATATGAAAAAATTAATTTTTAATATTATAAATTATATTAAAAAGATGTTTTAAGTTTAATTTATTTATCTTTTATTATTTTATTATAGTAATATTTTTAATAAAATATATAAATTTTAATATATGTCGAGTTCGGATCCGGATTCGGATCTAATTTTAAATTAAAATTTAAGAATTGTAAAAAAAAATTCTGATTTGTCGGATCTTTTCGGGTATTGTTCGGATCGGATCCGAATATAGTCAAATTCGGATATAATCGAATCCGATTCAAATCTCATGTTCAACTGTATATTCGGGTCGAGTTTGGGATCCGACTGGACCCGATCCATACCCATACCCATACTCTACCCATTGCCATCTCTATTTAAAATATTCATAGCTTTGATTTGGTTATAAACAGAAACTTATAACTAAAATATGTTGTGAAGAAGTTAGGCTAAGCTTATTGGCATCCCAAAAAAGAACTCTGTACATATTTTGGAAGGTAGGTTTTAGGGTTTACCGCCCGACTATAAATACTCTCAAATTTGATATCAATGCATATTAGAAAGAATGTAGTACTATATATTTGACTTTACAAGCCCTAAATGTATTCATTTCAATTTTATTTACTTTCATTTAAGAAAAGCAAACAACCACGTTAAGGTAAAAATAATATTTTCTCCGTCCACTTAATAAATTTATATTTATTTTTTGCGTCATTGTATTTAACATTAAAAATATATTTATATTTATATTATAAGACACTGATAAATATATTTGTCATTTTTTCGTAATTTGTACTGCGTTTTGATATAATAATTAATATTTAAAGATCAACACGCAAAAAATAAATGTCAACCTTCTAAGTGGACGGAGGGAGTAATAATGAAATTCAAATAGGCTATAGTTGAACAATATTTACATTTTCAATTATAATTTTGATAATATTTGAAGTCTATAATTTTAGGGCTTATTCGAATTTCTTCTTTTTATTATTAATTATTATATTTCAATTTATTTGCTAAGTATTTCTATTTTGAGATGTTTCTAAATATTTATAATTTTCTTATATTCATTTTTTTTATAAAAAAATAAATATAAATATAAATTATAAAATAGTAAAAAAATATGGAAATTATATCCACAATTAGCAAATAAAATGATAGAAACATAAACAAGCAAATAAATTGTAACTCAATAGGCAGTGATTGTTCATTTACTAAAAATTTTCCAATACATTTAGCCAAAAAATTACTCTCTCTGTTCCACAAAATTTGTCCACTTAGATACAAGAATTTAAAAAAATATATAATTATAAGTAATTAAAAAAATATATTTGTTGAAATAATTATGATATAATAATAATAATTATAAAGTAAGATTCAGATGACTATTAAATTTAAAATGTAATTTAATTGTATAATTATATTTTCAAAAAAGAAAAGACAAATTTGGTGAGACGAAGAGTAATGAAAAAATTTAAATATTGTGTGTGGGATAAAAAAAAAAATAATATAGTACACAGTTATTATTTTTATATATTATTTACATAATTTTCTATTTTTTCACATAAAAACTATTCTTTCAAACCAAAATATAAAACAAATACACCCGTATATTTTATTATTGACTAATTAATAATTTCATATATAATTTGAATTTTTTTCTTTGTTTTTCATTTTTAATTTCTTTATCACATAATGTTTATTCAAATATATATATTTCATTGAACTACTATTTAAAAAATACATAAATATATAAATTGCTTTGTTTGCGTGTGCGAGAACAAGACAAGACAAATGAAACTCAAACATACATACATATTTACCCTGAGGATAAGAAGAAGTAAAAGAGCAGTGGAAAGATGAACAACAACATAACTGACTGACTGACTCAAAGCAAACATAGCTAACTCAATTATCATGAATTTTAAACACTAATGTGAAATTGATTAACTATGCGATCCATTAATAATAATAATAATAATAATAATACCATAGCATTATAGTAGTACGTACGAGTCGACCGCTGTGAATTAATTTTGCCATATTCCAGTTTATAATAATTAAATTAATTAATTAACCAATTAGCAATCAAAGTTACTACACAACACCCCCTTCCTCTCCAATCCCCAAATTCTCTCTCCTCTCTCTCTCTCTCTCTCTCTCCTCCTCCTCGTGCAAACCCTCCTCCGCCATGAACCACCACCACCACGGCAATCCTCCTCCGCCGCCTCCGGCGCCGCCGATCGTCCGCCACACGACCACGGCACAAATCCTGAAGCACACGGCTTCGGTATTCTACTCTCACCTCGTCACTTTCGTGTTCCTCTCCACCCTCCTCCTCACCTTCCGTTCCAACGTCCTCAGCGCCTCTCACTACCTCTCCTCGCTCATCGACCGCGACCCTTCCCTCAAATCTCTCCTCTCTCGCCTCGATTTCTCCGCCCCCTCCCATCTCCACCCCCACCCCCACCCTCGCCATCAGCCTCCGTACAATCGTCGCCGCCGCGCTTTTCTGCATCTCTCCAGAGTCGGAACCCTCGACGACGATTTCTTCTCCGGAGATTCCGATTTCGACCGCTCTCTGTTCTACCCCTCTTCTAGAAAGCCCCCTCCCAACGCTACCTTCTTCATTCTCTCCGATTTCAACCCTGATTACGGCTTTTCCAGTTCCGTCATCGATAACGGTGTTTCTTTCCCTAAAGTTGTCAAACCTGGCGGTGTTAGTTTCAAGCCGGAGTTCAGGAAGAATGTCACGGTTCTGGAAGATGAGGAACGAAAATTTGTGGAGAGCAGATTGGATGATAGCAATGCAGTCGTAGATTTAGATTTCTTGATCAAGGGTTTTGAGTTGGGGCATCGTGATGCGACTTCCTTGGTTATTTTAGCAGGCGTTTTGTCCGCCACTTATGCTTACGTTGTCTTGGCGTTCATAGTTGCTTACACTTGGGTTAATGGAATAATTTTCCTCAAAGTGGTGGATCATTTGGTCGGGAAGTACAGGTCCTTCTGGCGCACCTTTTGGGATGGATCAAATCTGGGGCTCAAGAGGCTGTCCGGATTTATTCTGATGAAATGGGCTGTTAGGGATGCTCTTGCGCAGCTGATGGGGATATTTTTTTTCGGGGAAATTGAAGATCAGTATGTGTTTTTCAAGGTTTTTTTGAGGATGAAGTTTATGCCGTTTGCTAATGTTGCACCTTGGGTAGTAGGGCACGAGTGGGAGAGTTCTGGGTTCATTGTGGTGTGGTTCTTGAGTGATTTGATGCTTGGTTTTATCTTTGCTGTGGATTCGTGGGTTGCAATTGTGGATTCGAGGAGAGGTGGTAGGGAGATTGTTAAGGAAGGTTGTCATATGTTGGTAGCATTATTTTGCCCTGCCTTTGAGATAAGGTGGTTGGAAGCAATCATTTGTGGATCAGTTGGGAGGTGGATTTTGAGGAAGATGTTTGGAGAGGTTTCGACATTGGTTATTCAGTCGTTAATGGAGGTGTACTTCATGGTGGCGTGGCTGATCTTTTACTTTGCAGCTAGGCATAAGGATGATGCTTCCCTTGGAAGGACATTTGGACGAAGAGAATTGGAACGTCTTGTTGAGATTGCTAGGTGATGTTCGACAAAATTTGTTAAACAATGAACATCTTTTGGGGACATGATCTCTGGTGCCAAAACTTGTGATAACTCCTCAGTTATGATGCTGAAATAGTATTAATGTTTTTGGTGCTTTTGTTGTTCAATTCACAACAAATGTGAAATAGTTCTACCATTGTTTGGTGCTGCCACCATTTGTGCTTTCGATGTACTTTGCAAAGAGGTAGTGTACTGTAAATCTCCACATATTTCATCATGTGTATACAGCTTCCTAGCCGTTACCTTTTTTGGTCTTAAAAAAATTTATTGTTTTTGGTACTGTAACTTTGCATCATGTTCTTGTCGTTATTTTGCTGAGCCTTTATATGAATGACATGACAGGTCATTTAATACCTTCTACTTTTTACACGATATCCTATGCACAATGATTAGCTAGTTATTACTGAAGTTGTAGATCAGCTAGATTACGGCGTTGCACTATAATTTTTCTTTGAGGTCTTTGTTACATTTTTGAACAAAATGCTGTTTGTATACCCTAACCTCAAAAAACTGGGATGAATTAATTTTGCAAGCCTCATACCATTGCTGATTATGGGAGAGCTTTGTTGTAGGCTAGCTGCTTCAAGAACTGCTTTGAATTTTTTCTTCCATGAATAACCATTGTTTGTGTTCAGTGCCTGTGCATCAAGATTTATACTTTATAGTGCACTTTTATTAGTTGTATGATTGTCTGTATTCTTCTAGGTGGCTGATCTTAGATAACCTGAGTAGTATCCTAAATTTTTTCCCTTATTCACTACGTAGAAGAAGATTTTGGAATCTATTAAAATTTTGTAATGTCATGGACAAAGGGGGAATAATAATCATTTTCCTTGAATGAAATAATTTCATTGTTACATTCTTGAATGGTATGACATAAGAAATGTGTAAAGCATAAATTAAGTGAAGGGAAAAAAAGGATGCTCTTCTGATCTATATGCCTATGTGACGACAAAGTGGGATGAAGCTAGAAAGTATTCTATCATTTCAATTGCATCTTACTCGGATGGATATGTAGATTCACTAAAAGTGTTACCTTGTCTGTTAAATCTTTTATGTTGCTTATCCGTGTGCACCTATTAGAGTTTTCCATTTGCTTCCAGCTTGGTTTCTTATGGGTTTTCAGTTTTCTGTTCAATGTTACGAATTGGGGGAAGGTATCAACATATCATATATGTAATTATCCAGATTTCTTTAGTTTTTATTCTTTGTATGTCTAGCTCTCTTTAGTTATCATGTAGGACAACATATTTTGTATGAGGCTGGCCTAAATTTTCTTCTGTATCTCTTTTTACTCATTTAATATGAATCAGCTGTTTCATATCATATAATATATGACCAGAGATCTGAGCAGCTAGAACCAGTAAGAGGAGCCAGAGAATTCTACATCAAGAAATGTGTACTTATCCTGTGTTGTTTCCATCACTGTTCTCTTATTCCTTATAATGTTATAGCCTAGCATGTGCTCTCTTTATGGTAGGAGCCTGTGCTACGATCGCATTCTAACAAGGTGAGTTTGTTTGGATTTCTTGTTGGCTTTTAGTTTGGCGAAGAATCAGGCAAACACAAAAAGTTCGCTTGGAGAATGCAAAATTATAGATGAAGAATGAGCAGAAGGTAGTAATAATTGGTCAGCAATGGAAGTCAACATAGCTCAAAAAAGAATACAATCGAAATCAAGAGGAGAGGGACCAAGGGACCATATTGTAGCAGGCCTCTTTTAATATTTCACCTGCATTATGTTTGATCCATTATGTGTGTGATAGAATTCCGTAACTTTTATGGATTTATGATGCTCTGTGGATTCACCTTTGTTTTGTTGTGACGGTTGTTGTTTTCATAATCCCTACTCTTCAAATTTTGGTTTTGAAATAGAAGCTCATTTGAAATTAATGTTGAAATCTGGAAGTGCGAAAATATTATTGCTGTTCCTTCTAAAGCACAAAGAATGCATCTCAGTTACGCCTTTATGTGAGTTTATCACATTCATGTTCATGTAAGTAAAGAGCTTTTCTTCCCCAGTTTATCCCCCCTCCTTGAGAAAAATGTATTGTTCTACAAATTTTGACGAATTAATATGCAATAACATTTTTATTTGATGGATCTAATAGTATGGCCTCTTTGTCACTGGATAATTTATTTGTGATTACAGCTTCGTTATGATATATTATTAGTTAATACATACCACACTTGAATAGATTCTACAATAGGCTATTGATTTTATCCATATTTACTAACAAGGGTTAAAATGGCAAAGAATTAAATCTTGCCGCAGGAGTTGCAGAAGAATTCCCTCAAGCAGATGGGAAGTTGTCGACATGGTTGGGATTTGGCACATTGAACTACTCTGAGGAAGATAGTCTCATCACAGGGTATACAAAGTCTCGAGCTAGCTGTGAAACCATACACTTCCCTAGCATGATCCAGCAATGCCTGGAAGAGCGGGTGCTTCAGTAAGGTAAGACTGATCACAAACCTCTTGCGATATTCTCCCACGTACACTACCAAATGGCCCTTTGGGACATCACTTGGAACAACGTCGCCTTCTCCAAGTGAAGTCCAAAAAGACCATTTACTACACACTTTGTACGCTGCATGAGCCATGTTTCTGCATCCCATTCTTCTCCATTGTTTTATGCATGCTTTTACAAACCTATCTCTCGTAATATTCATCCTCTGTGTGTGTGTGTGTGAGATAGAAGAGCAAGAGTGAGCTTTGGTATGGTAGAGCATGTAGTTGGTGGGAAACTAGAAATTGCTCGGGGTTGATATAAAAGGGGAGGCAAGGGAACATTAGATGGTTGGCATAATTGTGTAGCAGGTATTTTTCACACACCTGTCTGTATGTGCATAAATAACACTGCTGGATATGTCTCTTACCTGGCAATGGCATGCATCTTCATTTCATACGAATTTGTACGAACCGTGAGTTAATATTCTATATAATAATATGTGTGCATCATCACTCATTCACCACTCCCTCACTACTCACTACACATATATATATATATATGTAGCTTTTTCCAAGTCCACGTGGTTATCCATCCTACTCATTTATTTTATTGACTTGATATATATATATATATATTCCTGCTGCTGCATTGATGTTCTCAACCAGAATTTGGAATTTACCAATAGATAGTGTGGTTATTGCAATGTTCTTCTCGAACACCTTCAATAATTATGGGGATCAGATGAGATGAGATAGATACTTATGTACTACCTTATTTGGCATAGTGTGCTATTAGAAATTTTAACACACATTTGAGGGAGAGAGAGAGAGAAGGCTGCAAAAGGGTTTGGTGGTTGTCCCATGATGTGGGGTTTTGAACATTAGGTTGAGTGTGCACGTGGCTGTGCTCTCTCTCACAAAATCAACTGTTAAGAGGCAGGTTTGAATGTGTGTAACATGACATCCCTCCTCCTCCCCTCCCGTTATTTTATGTATGTTAGTTAATTAGCAGTTGATAATATGATTGAAATATTTGTGGAGTGAGTGAGTGATATATGATACTGTGTGTGTGTTTGCAGTAGCAGCATAAGCTTTCATGGACACAAATAAGAAGCCCCGATCATGATCATGATCATGGCCATCATGGGTGCTCAACCGCTCAGTAAGTTTGTAAATATTTGAATTCATTCATCTTGGGTTTTTGTGTCGATAAATGATAGATATTGATTGAAAGAGGGAGGGGAGTGGATGAAGATGGGTAGCAAGTATTATGATGGTGATGATTTGATGTGATAGATCATAAACCTTTGTAGTAGTATTGGCTATATGAATGAATGAATGAATGATCACTGAGAGAGAGAGAGAGAGGGAGAGCCAGCCAGCCAGCCAGCCAGCCAGCCGTGATCCCAAGTGATTCATCCCCCATCTACTGAGGACATGCCTGCCTTCCTCTCTGCTTCTTTCACCTCCTTGTGGGGTGGGGTGGGGTGGGGTGGGGTGAGGTGAGGTTGGGTGCACAGACACATCTATCCACATAGATAGCTATTTTATTATTATAATAATAATTATTATCCATTCGTTATAATGTTTCCAACAATCTTGTAACTGTGAAAGTGGGGATGGGATATTTAGCAGAGGACCGACGTGGAAGAAGAAATTCTAGTGGTTGGAGAGAGAGGAGAGTGGGGATCCCCCCCTAATAAAGCACATGAGGGTAGGGTAGGGAAGGGTAGGGCCATGTTGTACTTAGGAGACATGTTGCATGTTGCTGACACCTCAAGCCAGCATATCATCTATCATCGTCTTCTTTTCATCCTAGCATAGCATACTTTCTGGGCTGGTCAATGAAGCCCATACTATACTGGATGATACTCAAATGTCTTAAAGAAAACAACTCTCCAAACCTGACGTGTTCAAGTCAATCGACCACAAGTCAAGGCTGGCTGTGTTGTGTGTGGTCTTTCCATTTACCATTTACCATTCAAATTGCAGCGGCGTATCGTATCGTATCCTAGAGACTCAATACTTGCAACTTTAAATGCATGTATGTATGTATGTACTCAGGAACAAGGGATATTAGATTCAAGTAAGAAGAAACACTAAAATCCAGAATGATGATCATCTGTCAACAAACGCCAAATCAGTCATTACTACATTCGATTATCAATAGATAGAACAAGATATAAATCAGTCCCAAATGTTTAAATAACAAGCCCCCCTCATTTCCCTCAGCAGCACAATGTTCAGACTCAACAGCAGTAGGCTGCGACAATTCACGGGGTGGTGGAGGTGCAGTTGAAAATTGTATACAGTTACCTAGTCATTCGTTCCCATTTATACTCCGCAGGATCCTTCTATAGTCGCTCAGCGTAATATCAGCACTTCTGTCTGGAGAAGAAGAATCCCGAACCATAGTATCACCACTTCTGTCCGGAGAAGAATCTCGAACAATAATATTACTACTATGCCCCCCGATCTTGGGCCTCTGCCCTTTTGGGTAAGGGTAGAGGGTTGCCAGTTCACACACACGGCGTAGGATGGACTTGGGAAGAGGGCGCCAGGCCACACTTCGTTTCTTCTCCCCCTGCCCCACATTAAACAGATGAGGCGCCTTAATAAAATATATTCGTGTTATAATGCATGAATGGGACATCGACAAACCTGCTGGCTGCCTTGTTCCTGAATGCCGCTTGCCTTCAAAAGGTTTCGCCATTTGTCCTGCACAGATCCCATAAAGCTACATGTTACATAGATACTTCTTCATCTGTGGTCCGGAGAGGGCTCGAGAAATCATCCTACCTTGAGATCAACAGAAGTCCGATGAGCAGATGAAGAAAAGAAAAGCTTCTTTATCCGACTCCATCTTCCAACTCCATATTGGGCGACACCATCAATCAGTTTTTTAACCTCTGAGATAGTCCATAATCTATGATGCTTCCTCCGACCATTGGCTTCTTCAAGACTCTCAGCATCAAGACAGTCTCTTTTCTTTTGTGGCTTTGCTGAGAAATGCTCTTCCCTTTTCTTCGGACTCACTACTGCAGCATTGTCATTTCTGTTCTTTGGACCATCATCGATGATACAATTAACCCATTTCTTTTGACTTCCTGCTGTAATCCGGCCATTCCTTTTCTTTTTATAAACTGTAGTTACACAGGCCTCCCTCTTTTTCTGGGCTGGAGCACAATAATCCTTTACCTTGGGACGCGCTGCAGGGACAATTTCATTCTGATTCTCTGGAGTAACACGTTTACATTTTGATATGGGCATCAATTTTCTGCTATCCACAGGCTGTACCTGTTCAAATTCATTTTTAACATTCAACAATTACAATTCCCAACAACTTTCAACGGCTCCTAGAACAGATGCACAAAAAACAAGAAAGCAACTTAGAAAGAAATCAAGAGCCATTTTCTTTTTGCTGCTTTTACAGAAAAATGGGATACTTTAGTATTCTATAATCTCTTCAGTACTTCAAGCAGGAGTAGGAAGGAGCAATCAATACTTCAAGCATATTAACATGGAACTCAAACCTTGTAAGACTAGGATGACACCAAATGCCACAAGTAGAAAATTATATAGGAAAGTGCTGAAACCACTTTCCAGACTTAAACCACACTTGCAAAATTTGAGAAATGCCTAGCAAGTGTGCAACTAGGTCATAGTATAGACAACTCACAAGATCAGTTACAGGTTCAAAAAAAAAAAGAGAAGTAGAAGGACACCAGGGGTAAAAATTGTGTTTGTAATGCAGTAACAATATCTTGTTATAAATCTCACCGAATCATTCACCTGCTCCTTTGGACATTCTTTATGTACTAAAGAAGCAAACGGCACTTGAATGGCTTTGACTGAAGACTCTTCATCAAGAAACCTTAGCTCTTTAGATCCAATAGGACACTTCTTCTTGTCTTTGACTACAGTGGGTTTCTCCTTAACAGCCAAAGATCGTCTTTTCTTAGAAAATGTTGAAAAAGGGTCTGGTAACTCATCGATGTACCTCTGTGTTGGTTTCCGTGATCTCTTTTGTGTAGTGAGGTCATCAATACCACTTGCTTTAACAGACAACTTTGCTTCTTCCTTGTGTCCATCACATGTGTTAGTCTTAACTTCTTGGTCAGTCAGTTCAAATTCATGATTGTTCCGCACATTTTGACTGCAGAGCATCTGACGTAATGGGGTCAGTCTACCACCATTCTCATCAGATAAGGTTTCCCGGAAAGAACAACTTGAACTTTTATTATAGTTGCCAATAGTTCTTGAAGTAAATCGATGTGAGACTGAAGGTTTCTCCTCAACCCGCATTTGACAGTCATGGCAATTAGGAATATCACTTAATTCAGAGCTCCGAACAGTAAATTGATCATTGGAGCAGTCTGGCTCTTCTGTTATTCTAAATAAATCTGATTTCCAAGCAGAATCAGAACCAGCACTGGACACTGGCATCTGATTGTCTGAAACTGCAGCAGGAAAACCTCCACTTGAGCCATATCCCAAATTTGTAATACCTTCATCAAAATCAACACCTGAACCTGATGAAACATTCCTTTGTTATTATTCCAAGTGATCAACTGAGGGAAATTATACCTGATACAACATGCCAGTCAAAATAAATAGATAACTGAAAACCAGGACTGGATACCCACCTAAAAGGTAATCTTCTCCCATGCTACAGAAATCACTATGCAATCGGTAATATCCAGCTTCAACTTCACTGGGCATTACTTCAAGCACCTACAGAAGGTGCCCCATCATATTGGATAAAAATGGCATTATAAAAGGAGAAAAATGAAGTGTTTCATACTTTACTCGTCTTATCCCATATAAAATAAATACAAAAAAGTACTACATGAGTGTTTTAACTCCTATTGCGGCAGTAACATAAAGTTCAAGAAAATTCACTCAAATATCATTTGTTCAACTCAAAAGAGTTTGGTTTCAACTCCTGTAAATTTGGAATATCTTCAAGGTTTATAAAACCTTTAATTATAAACTATAATAGCACGAAGAAATATTGCATCCATGTGTATATCCTAGATATTCAAATCAAGAAAAGTACTTGGGCCCATATTTGTTCCATAAATTTGTAGTATATGCCTATCACCTCAAAAAAATCAAAGCATCCTGAAGTGCACAAATGCATGCGCTTAGAGATACATCTTAACCCATGGAAGTTCTTGTGCTGTTGAGAATTTGCTTACACAAACAGGAGAAACATAAGAGGAAGGTGCACATAACAATATTTCATGCATAAGCTAGAATCAGAATCAATGAAGAGCTTAGATTGTCCAAAAAGATATTAGTTTAATTTATGCAATGAAAATATACTTGAAATAGAAAAGACAAAAAGAGAATGCAGAACTATTTTATTCAACATATATATGTAAAAAATGATATTACTGAAGTACCAATCAACATAATCATATAATATTTGCTTAAGATCTTAAACTAACAATGGCACACACATGAAGCGTGCACAAGAATTAAGGAGCTGAATGATGTAGCATTGTCACAAGATACATTTAAGAATGATACTTGAAATAGAAAAATAATACGCAAGCAGAACTATTTTATTCCAAATGCTATATGCACAAAGTTCAAGTACCAATTACCATAGAAAATCAAATAAGTAAGATCCGCTTAAGTCCTTATATTGAGGATGGCACAAAGGCAAACTATGCCCAATAATGAATGTGCTTATGACTATGCAACTTCATATACTAAATAAGGAGAAACAAATGACAAATGTGTAACTAAATTAGCTACAGCATGCAAGAGCTTGCTTCACATTTTATAGGAATCTCTGCCAGCAGCATTAGATCGTATACGGCAAGAGATAAGAAAGGGTGATATGCAAACTATCTGCAGTTTAGAAACATCTGCATTAATCATTGGTAAAGAATGAACAGCCAATCATTACATACTTCTCCACGGAGAATGTCTTTCCTTTCCCGAGCAATTGCAGCATCTGTGCAACCTGCATAATGTGACAGATTGATGAGAAATCACAGGATACATTCCAGCAAGTATTTGAAGAAACACCAGACACACGATAATCAGAGAAGAAATAAAGCAGAATATCGAAATAAATGAAAAGGCTAGAATATAAACATATTAAAAACCTAAACAAATGATCAAAATCATTTCAACTACATACATATTGGGGATATCAACTGAATGCAAGACTTTTGACCTACCAGAAAGCTTGAATCTAAGTCAAAGTATCATGGTATCAGTTGTCATTGCGACAAGAGATCTTTTTTAGCTCTTCTTCCATCAAGTTTTCTTAGGACTAAAATGTTTAACAAGATTGTTTTTAATTCCCTGCTACCACTCACACTCTTTTAGGTGGCAATTTATTAAATTTGTCACCTAGAGTAGCAAGGTAGAGTTCACACTGCTAAATTTTAAGCTATACCAAAACTGCAGGAAACATCTTCCATGTCCATGCCATTTGCTTGAATCTTCTCATTAAAACAGATCATACTATCCATTGATTCATGCCCATCTTGGGGTTCCCCAAGCAGACGCTCGACATCAATTGTCCCATCATCCAATCCAGGAGTAGGAGGTCCATTCTCCATGACCTGGTAAATATTGTTGATATTATGAAAAGCATTCTATTTAACTTTCTGGTTGTGCAAGAACGTAATAATCGATAGATAATTTATTTCGTAGGAGCCAACATTTGCTGCCGACGAGAATTCAGAAAAGAATTCAAAATCCAATCATAAGGTATAGGCTCACAACTGCACTCTACTCCAGTATATATTCCCAATTTGGCAATTTCTCTTCACAAAATCAAATTAAACCAAAAAATAAACTAAAAAATTTGATATTTGCATATAATCAATTGTTAATTGTGCCCAAGTTCAAAGGAAGCAAAACCCCTGGGGAAAAAAAACTCTGGTTACTCCAAACTTTTCATTCAAAAGGATACATGAATGGATTTCTTCCAACGAAATATAATTAATATACCGTTTGATCTCAAATCAGTATCAATCAGACCAAAATAGATAAGAAAAATGAAAAAGGACTAAATACATGCTAAATGACAACACGCACTTCTCATTACATTTGCTCATCCATAGCCGATTCTTAGATAAACAAATCAAGGCGATCAGTTATTTGGCAATACGCCTGACTCTTCCGCACAATCTCCCACCATCTACCCGTCCGCACAAACATCTCATCTCAGACGCTATATCACCGTCACACCACAAAATAAAAATCGACAAAGAGAAACCCTACGAATCAAACAGAACAGAACCCCAACACAATTTTCCAATCCGCTAAACCAGATATCAGCGCAATGTCCACAAAACCACGCAAACCAAAATGGAGAAATTAAACACGCAACGTCGCACGCAATACACCGAAACAAAACAGTAATCGCATTGAGAAGGAGACGAAAGCAACCTGAGCGGTCCAATCCGCCGGTCGTGGCCGGCTCCAACTCAGAGTGTCAGTTGGTTCGGGGGGCGATGCGACTAAGAGAGAGAGGGAGAGAGAGAGAAGCAGAAAGATCGCGGCAGAATAGCAAAAGTAGGTATGGTATAGTGACGCCACATATTCGACGGACTCGAAAGAGGTGATCCAAAGCTGTATTTGAAAGTGGGTCTGGCGTCCGCCGTGGCGATACGCAGTTATTGTAATCTTGGAGGTTTGTGCGTCTGACGGTGACACGTAACAGCACCTCCCCTTCGACTCCTTCGCCTTTTTATTTTCTTACTTAATTTAATTTATACTCCTACTTCCAAAATAATTTAATGTATTCTTTTTATTCTTTTGACTAATTTTATTTAAGGATGTGTTTGTGTGGGGGTATTAGATTTTATATCTACTATTCACCCCTTTTTCTTTTTTTTTTTTTCAAAAAATATTAAATCAAACATCTATTTTTTATTTTTTATATTATACTAAAAATAAATTTTACATTCAAAACATCACATCAACACCTATTTATATCACATCATACAACTATTCAAATTCAAAATTTTTACTATTCAAATTTCAACTTAAAATTCAAACCCCCAAACAAACACACTGTAAATATTCTTTTTATTAGATTAATTCATGTTCAAATATTAAAATATTTTTAACTTTTATAAAAACATTTATTTATTTTATCAAAATTATCTAACAAATTTATACTAATCAATAAAATTTTGTTATAAAAAAAAATGCTTATTCTCCTTTTCTTTAATATCATAAAAATATGTTTGTTTTTTTTTTTAGCAAAAATTTATTCTACTTTTTATCTTGGATAAACTGTTTTTTTAGTACAGTAATTGGACCCCCTTATCATTTTAGTTCCGTAAGTGGAGTCTGTCGCAAACTAGTCCCATAAGTGAAAAATTTTCGATGCTTTAGTCCTCCGGCGCCGGAGACGCCCGCGTAGCTCGCCGGAGGTGATCCGTCAGGTCAGCGACACCTGGCGGACACGTGGATTTTTTTATTTATTTTTTATTTTTTTAAATTCTTTTTAAAACTTATTTTTAATTTTATTTATATATTTTTAATTGTCGCTGACCTGGCGGACACATCACCTCCGGCGAGCCACGCGGGCGTCTCCGGCGCCGGAGGACTAAAACAGCAAAAAATTTTCACTTATGGGACTAGTTTGCGACAGGCTCCACTTACGGAACTAAAATGATAAAGGGTCCGGGACTTAAAAAAACAGTTTATCCTTTTATCCTTTTTTGAACTATTTTTAAAATTTTTTATTATAAATGGAAAGAAATACACAATACATTATAATTTGTGTTCAAATCAATTGTGCATATTTACACGAGAGAGTATTACATCTGTTTAATTTGAAAATATACATCTATTTTTCAAATAATTTAAAAAATAATAATATTTTAATTCAATCGTTGAAATAAGAAGTAATACTTTATATTGAATGTTATTTGTTTTTTTTTTTTTCTTTAGGAAATATAATATATATATTAAAAATATTTGAATCGTATCAATAAAAAAAATTTGTTTGTATGAATTTATTATTACTAAATAATTTATATTTTTGGAACTAATGTATATTTTTTTAATATATTTTTTTTACAGCGTTCGCCCTACGCTGTGAAATTAAATAAAATAAATATATTTTCACAATAAAATAAAACATAGTATAGCTGAAGTAGAATTATTTTTTCATAAAATTTAAAAAAACTTTACTCTTAGTTGTTAATATATAGATATAATAAAAGGAGATTTTTTAGAGGAATTTAAAATAAAATTAAAAATAAATATAAAAAAATTGAAAATCGACTAGAAACGACAAGAAAAATTACAGTTGGCAAACCTATAACCTCACGGTCATGAATCTATCCCTACATCCCTTTCGAGACTATACAAGTGTACTTTATATATATTTATAGCACCAAAGTCTATAAAAACCATAAAGTCAATAAATATATTTATTTGACAAATCTATAAATTCTATGAAATCCATAAAAACTCCAATCAAGTACTACATCCGTCTCATATCTATTTATCCATTTACTTTTTATACGGAATTTTAGAAAATATTAATATTATATTGAAACGTAGTAGAAATAAAGGTAAAACGACTAAACTATCCTTATTAGTATTGTATGATATAAAGATAATGTCATTTGTGTAATATATTGTAAATTTGAAATGCATTTTTAATATTAGGTAGATAATACAATTACTAAAAAAAATAGATATTTTATTATAAAACGGACCAAAATAAAAAAATAGATAGATTATTAAAGGACCGAAGGAGTATATCAAAATTCATATAAATCAATACACAAAATCAATCAAATTCTCTATAAATTTTTTAGATTTTCTAAATCCACAAAAAATTACAAACTTTTGAAAGTACCAAAAAAATAATAATAATAATAATAAAAAATTCTAATTGAATTCACCTCTACATTTATTTATTATAAGAGTTGAAGTATAATTTTGGTAAAAGTATCGTGGTTAAATAATCAGAGCATTGATCAAAGAATAAAAAGCACTACATGATTTAGTGAAAAAGCACTAGTATTAAATAATGAAATCATATATTGCCTACGTCCCATGTAATATGGGTGTATTACTGTAGACACGATAATTTAGGTAAAGTATAATTAGTAAATAATTAAAAAGTGTATTAGTAAAAATAATTATTATTTAATAAAAATAATTATATATTAAAATTAAAATAAGTAAATAGTTTAATTAAAATTAAGAAAATTATAAAATTTAAAATTTGAAATGCGATTAAAGTGCATAATTATATTTTCAAAAATATAAATGACAAGTTACGTGAGACAGACGAAAATATAAAATAGAGACAAATTATGTGGGACGGAGGGAGTAATACGGTAATAAAAAATATTTCATTATTTTGTTTATAAGTTGATCTCGTATTATTTTGTATCAATTTCTTTGCTATCGGTATCTTCTTAATTTTTTCCAGACGTGTGTTTGTTTGGGAGTTTGGATTTTGAGTTGAGATTTGAATATTAAAAATTTTGAATTTGAATAGTTATATGATGTGATATAAATAGGTGTTGATGTGATGTTTTGAATGTAAAATTGATTTTTAGTATAATATAAAAAATGAAAAATAGGTGTTTGATATTTTTAGAAGAAAAAAATTAAATGAACAGTGTAAATCCAATCCAATCCCCCAAACAAACACACCCACTGAAATTATAAATTTAGCATTGCTTACTATTGACGGCACTGTAATTGAAGCAAATATATATTGAAATTGATGTGTTATTCATTATCTGATGGCATTGCTTGTTTGGTTTTTTGCAAGTAAAAATCTTAATATTCTTTCCATTCCATTGAAAAGTTGTAATTTTTCATTTTCGTTCGTCCCAAAATAAAGTTATCATTTTCTAATTTAGTAATTGTACTACCTACCTAATATAATACATACTTTTCCAACTTACATTATATTATACAAATGTCATTACTTTTATATTACACAATACTAATAAGGACATTTTCGTCTTTTTACTACAACTCATTATAATACTAATATTCAAAAATTTATGTGCAAAAGTAAACGACAACTTTGTACCGGGACGGAGGGAATATTAGTATAATATTTGTATATAATGTAAATTAAAAGAAAATAAAAAATACTTATATTAGTATTAGGTAATATAAAAGTAATAATATTTCAATAATGTATTTTAAATTGTAAGAATATTGTTAATATTAGATGAAGAATATAATTACTAAAAATACGAATACTATATTTGACAAAAATTTTTTTTTTTTAAAAAGTACTTTTTTTAAGGAATTGAGTTTGGATTTGCTTTGACTTCATGATGAGTTTGAGTTTGTGTTTATTTTGTATGTAGGGTTGGTTTGACTTTTGAGAATTTTAATATTTATTGATTTAATGGATAATAAATATAAAATTATATTAAATTTAAACTAGATAACATATAAAATAGGGTAAATTATTTTTTAGTTTTGTAACTGTACTCCCTTATCATTTTAGTTTCGTAAGTGGAGTATGTCGCAACCTAGTCTCATAAGTGAAAAATTTTCGCTGTTTTGGTCATTCGGCGCCGGAGACGCCTGCGTGGCTCGCCGGAGGCGACGTGTCCGCCAGGTCAGCGACACCTGGCGGACACGTGAATTTATTTATTTATTTTATTTATTTTTAATTTTTCTAATTTTTTTAATTGGACCAAATAAAAAAATGCAAATAAAATTAAAAATAAATGAAAAATAAGTTATAAAAAAATTTTAAAAATGAAAAAAAAAAAAAAATCTACGTGTCCGCCAGGTGTCGCTGACCTGGCGGACACGTCACCTCCGGCGAGCCACGCGGGCGTCTCCGGCGCCGAAGGACTAAAACAACGAATATTTTTCACTTATGGGACTAGTTTGCGACAGACTCCACTTACAGGACTAAAATGATAAGGGGTCCAGTTACGGGACTTAGAAAACAGTTTACCCTATAAAATAATAACCATGTAGACTTACTAAAAACCTCTTTATTTCTATCTTTTTTTAAAAAAAAAATAAAAAATAAAATATTAATCTATATTTAAAATTTTATCTCTTTTATAAAATTAATTTATACTTAAATATAAATAAATAAAAGTATTTTTTATTTACTTGTACAATGAAAAATTTTATTCTCTACAAAGTTTTGTAATATTCATATTGCATATATTTTTTTTATTACGATATAATTTTTAAAATATTAAAATACATAATTATTCTTTTTAATTACATACATTAAATTTATTTTAAAACTATCAATATTATTAATTAATAGAAATAATAAAATAATATCATAATTCATTATTATTAATTAATTAAATATCATTACATCATAAATCATAATCTCTCCGTCCCAGATACCATGTCCACGTTGCCGTTTCTGTCCGTCCCACATACCATGTCACTTTCATTTTTTGAAAAATGATTATACACTTTAATCTCATTTTAAACTTTTTAATTATTTTTTTTTTAATTTTAATTAAACTAATTAGTTATCTTAATCTTAATTTATAATTATTTATATTATAGGATAATTATTTTCACTAATATATTTTTAATTATCTACTAATTACACCCCTCCTAAAATACCGGGTCTACAGTGTAGCAGACACGGTAACTGGGACGGAGGAGTATAATATTTGCTCAAAATTCTTTTATTTTCATTTCTCTTTAAAAAAATATATGTTTACTCACATTTGAAATCTCACATTTTTTGTAAAATCAGTTTAGGTTAGTTATGTATTATAAAAAAAAATTATGTTTTACAAAATAATAGTCATATTGTATATTTTTTTTGTTGCGATATACTCCCTCCGTCCCACCGGAATTGAACCATTTGATTAGGGACATGGTATTTAAGGTGAGGATGTTTAATTAGTTATGATATTATTATATTATTTGTTTGGTATAATTAATAATATTTATATTTTTAAAGTAAATTTAATATATATGATTAAAAAAATTAAAATATATGTTTAAATATTTAAAAATTATATAGCAATTAAAAATATATGCAATATGGATATAATTTTGTAGAGAATAAAATTTTCTATTGTACAAGTAAATAAAAAAATATTTTTTTATTTATAATTAACATAAATCAATTTTATAAAAGAAGTGTAGTTTTAAATATAGATAAAAAAAATTTATTTTTTTGAAGAGAGATGTATAAATAAAAGGATTTTAAGTGAATCATACGTCATTTATGATGTTGTATGTTATGTTACGTCATTTATATTTGTTAAATATGTTTTGATTTAATAATTTTTATCAAAAATAGAAATATGTCCATTGTTATAGAACAAATAAAAATGGAAATAGTGTCAATTGTAGTGGAACTAAGGGAATACTAATTTTTATAATATTTAAATATACATTTTAATTTTCTAGTTATATACTATATTAAATTTATTTTAACTTATTAATATTATTAATTACTCCCTCTCCCTTTGTCCGTGATATTAATTAAGTTTCTTTTGGACACGCAGTTTAAGAAATAATGTGTTATGTAATTAATTAATTTAATTAATGGATATAATAAAGTGTTATATTAATATCTTTTATTTGATAAAATGTTAAATTAAAATTTAAAATATTTTTTATTTTAATTTTTAAATATTAATTTTTTTTATTTTGATGTTATTTAAAAATAATAATAATAATTGTATTTATTGAAATCATTACATGCATTTAGATAAAATAAAAAATTAATAACTTAAATATAATTTATACAATAAAAAATGTAATAAAAAACTTATATAAACAATGTTGAGGACTCCCGTTTACGGGATATGTAACTAATGGCTTAGTTTCCCTAACAAGTTTGAGCTTTTAGGTGAGACGGTCATTAGTTTCCGACATGGTATCAGAGCCTAGGGCTAGGTCTCGAGTTCGAGTCCCGCTCGTCCCCATTTGTGGCATATGTATGTGCAAGTTTCGCAGACCCACTTGCACCTGAGGGGGCGTGTTGAGGAACTCCCGTTTGCGGGATATGTAACTAATGGCTTAGTTTCCCTAATAACTTCGAGCTTTTAGGTGAGACGGTCATTAGTTTCCGACAATATATAATTTTTTTTTTAATTTGGTTGTTGTTAAAGATAGTTGGTTATGACATACCAAATTTAATACAACATTGCATACGTACGGTACAAAATTTTTGGTATGATATTTTACCCTACCGAATAAATATTTTGGTATACCGAATTTGCGAAATAAAAATACTGAATTATGAAAATAACATGCATATTCGTAAAAAAAAAAATAGCGAAAAAAATTTCAAAATTTCGATACAATATGACTTTTTTGTATGATAACGATATACAATAAGATATTTTCAGTATATATAGATAATTTAAAAAATTGGAATTTTTGTATATATTGATTATTTGATACAATATCGATATTTTTTTTTTAATAAATTAAAAAAATTGGTACGGTATACTACAATATATTTCGATATTTTCGGTATACTATCTCAAACCATCTCTAACTGAATTGTATACACCGTATTAGAATATAATATTTTACGTCAAATAGCGAAATTAAAGTCATTTTATAATTTTGCATTATAAATAAGTTCTATTTTTTTTTTTAACAAAGAAAAAAAATAATATCAATTAATTTTTCAGCCATAAATTTCCAAATCAAACATCAAATTTTTATTATATACTCCCTCCGTCCCAGATACCATGTCCACGTTGCCGTTTCTATCCGTCCCATATACCATGTCACTTTCATTTTTCGGAAAATGATTACACACTTTAATCTCATTTTAAATTTTATTTTTTTTAATTTTAGTTAAACTAATTAGTTATCTTATTCTTAATTTATAATTATTTATATTATAGATAATTATTTTCACTAATACATTTTTAATTATCTACTAATTAGCATTAAAATTAAATTAAAATTTATTTATATAATATTAAATATTTATTTTATTTTTATTATTTAAAAATTCAACTTCTAAATTTACAATTAACAAATAATAAAACTAAAGATATTAGGAAGTTAATAAAATATAGATAGTTAAGTTTTTTTAATTAGAAGTATTAGTTATTAATTATTACTAGTGGACTAATTTAGTGGGACGGTTAAAAAAAAAAAAGTGGACAAACTTAGTGGGACAGAATAAATATATAAAAAAATAATTAAATAATATTAATTGATTAACCATTATTTAGTTATTTAGTGCAGTATCACTAATCAAATGTATCAATTACTACAACGGAGCGGAGGAAGGAAATGCAAACATAAAAAATTCAATTCGATTATGATATAAAAATTTTGCGAAAAATACAACAATCAAATAAAAGAAAATACAATTAAATAATTATTGCTTCGAATTTTCAGAAGACAATATTGATGTTGATCGTCCTGCGAAATGGCAAGGAGATGAGCCAACGGAGCGTGCTTTGTTTGTTCAGCCATGAACAAGAACAAGGCTTGAATGCGTGACTGCAGTTAGTTGCCGACTCAATCTCCATCGGAGCTCGGGATTCGGCCGTCCGGCCACCGGAATGACCAAACCTGATGGCCGAGCGATCGAGCTTCTCTAATTACCGTTTTCAAGCAGTTCAACTAGTGTGATAAAAAGTCATACGGGAGTGTAGGTTTTGCAGGAACTTCGAGAGCGGAGGACGCCTGGAATTTCCGGTCAATTTCGTGTTTCCTTTGCTCTTTGCTGCTTTCGTGTTTACTTTGGGGATTTACCATTTACTGTTAGAAAAGCGTTTAACTTCTATGGCGTGTGCAGATTAGCTTCATGTGGACTATAATAATTAGAAGAAAAGGTTTAGTCATGGCAGGAAAGTATTCGATTAAATGCAGACCGTAACAGAGACGGATCTTGTGCTTAATCAACGATCGATTTTCCTCGAGGAATCTGACTTTGACTGCAAAAACTAGGTCTGATAAATTTTTGTGTTCTGAATTCATATTTTCTTCCTCAATAATTAAATGCCTCATGCATCAGCATACTACTGTATGGATGGATTCTTCCAAGAATCACACCTGCATAATTGTTGCCTGTACTATTTTCTTGTGCAGATAAAATATGAGTTGATGTCTTGCAGTATCCGTTGGATAAACAATCAGTTTCACCTATTGTTTTTCCACAAGACCTAAATGGCTTTCTTGACTGATCGTTTGGGAGGCTTCCTATTTAAGTCGTGATGGAGTCTCCTTGTTTCTCCAGTCTTTCTTCAACAGTTGCAAGAGATCAAATTCTGGGGGGATTTCAAAATCAAGTGCTGGAGGGTTCATGATTATGTAGAAGAAAAGGTAATTTCCTTTTGAAATGATGTATGGTTGGGGCTTTTAGATCAAGAATTTTACAGTTTGGATTCTGAATCGACTTTTCCCTTTCAATTTTGTAAAAGCATGAATTTGAAAGGAGCTTGAAGTGTGTTCTTGAGATGTTGATCAGAGAAGAGTGAAATTTTTACCTTAAATCGATTGATAGGTGGAAGTCAATATATAAATTAATAGTGTTGCTGTTGTTAACTTGTTAATTGTTATGAAATGAAATAACAGATTCTGTAAATGCTGCTGTTAGAGCTATTCCGGATCGACTTCTTTTCCATTTACACTTACTTAAATTGGTTGGTTGATCATCACTTAAATTGTTTATTTCTCCATAGCTGTAGAACTTCAGCAGTTCAGACTTCAGAGGCATATATACAAACAAAACTATGAAGTGTTTCCAATTCCACAGTGGCGAGCAAAAGAACAACTCCAAGAGTGGATCAAAGACAAGTTCATCTCCTTTCTCATTTACAGCCTACATCCGAAGGAGGCACTCCACGCCGGAGCTTAATACCCGATCAAAATCCACAAAGCTTAGACAATTCCAGAACCTGTCGGCGAAACCAAGTGATAATCTAAATGTGTTTACACTTTCAGAGCTGAGACAAGCAACCAAAAATTTCAGCAACACTGCCAAGATTGGGGAGGGTGGATTTGGATGTGTGTTTAAGGGCATGATCCGATGCGCTGACGATCCATCCAAGAAAATCAATGTGGCAATCAAACAGCTCGGTCAGAAGGGACGACAGGTACATTAAGTAGTTTTCGACTCTGTTTTTCCTTAATTTGCAAACATTGCTATGCTTTGGGACATGGCAGGGCCACAAAGAATGGGTGACAGAAGTTAACCTTCTCAGCATTGTTGATCACCCGAATCTTGTAAAACTCATCGGCTACTGCGCTGAGGACGACGAAAGAGGAATCCAACGCCTCTTGATATACGAGTACATGCCTAATGGAAGCGTGGAAGACCATTTATCCGCCAAGGCTGCATCATCCCTACCATGGGACTCGAGGCTGAAGATAGCCTCAGATGCTGCTCGGGGTCTCGAATACCTACACAAGGGAATGGATTTTCAGGTTGTCTTGCATCAGCATCAATTAATTTACACTGTAAAACACTTCTTTTTCTCTTTTTTATTTTAGGACTTCTCGTTAACTCATAACTAGTTCTTCATTCCAATAGATCATCTTCAGAGATTTCAAATCATCGAATATTCTCTTAGACGAGGAATGGAACGCAAAGCTCTCCGACTTTGGATTGGCGCGGTTGGGCCCTTCCGATGGACGAACACATGTATCCACTGCGGTACGCATGCCAACTAATCGCCCCACTCGAAAACTTATAATTAATCACTGCCATTTCACCTAAAAATTTTATGTTGTTGGAGAAATACATTATCTGTTATATATTATAGTCTTTCAACTCACTCTTATATTTACTTAAATTATCATTTTATTTAAAGGTTTAAGCCTATTAAAAAATATATAATTTGTTATATATTATAGTCTTCCAATTTGCTTTAATATCATGTAAAATGATCATTTCACCTAAAATATTAAGATTATATGAAAATGCATTAGTTATTACATATTACAGCCTTCCAACAATCACTAAAAAGATACATGGTCTCACTCTCATCTACATTTTATTACTTTTGTCCAGGTTGCCGGGACTATGGGATATGCAGCTCCCGAGTATGTTCGAACGGGCCATCTGAAAGCAAAGAGCGACATTTGGAGCTACGGAGTCTTCCTCTACGAACTGATCACCGGCAGGCGCCCAATGGAGCGAAATCTCCCGAAGAATGAGCAGAAACTGTTGGAATGGGTAAAGCCTTATGTATCAGACAGTAAGAAGTTTCAGCACATATTGGATCCGAGGTTGGAAGGGGGGAACCATGTCCTGAAATCAGCCTGCAAACTCTCCCTCGTTGCCAACCGGTGCTTGGCTAAAAACCCAAAATCCCGGCCGGAGATTAGCCAAGTTCGGGAGATGGTTAACCAAGTGTTGGAGGAGTCATCCACATATTCGTCTACCATGCCATCACCATTGCTGGCTGTAGAGGAACCTCAAACTAAAGGTAGAGGTAGATCATCCTATAGCTAATTCCAAAAATACAATAATTACGCCTCTGTGTGTGTGTTTTTTTTCTAACTTTTGATTGTTTTATTTTTAAAAAATGTTATATTTTATTATAGTTGGCACTCTCCTGACTAATTTTACATAAGATAGCATGGGTATTTAAAATATAACAGACAGTATAGACTAAGGGGGTGTATTGCATCAATAATTTTTTAGGATTTTGTTTACTTTTAAAATTTGAGTTTATTCGATTCAGACTTTTAGGTATTCAATTAAATTTAAAATTTTGAGATATTCAACTACCCACTTACTTTTAAAGTCTATGAATTTGATTGGATTTTAATGAACACAAAAATTTGTACATGAAAAAATCTCTAATGATAATGAGAGATTTGATGAATTTTTAAAATTATTATTATTATTATCATTGTTGTTAATAATATATAAGTGATCAAGAATTTGATAATATTTATTTTTATTATTTTAAATATTTAATAAAAAGTAATAATTTAAAAATAAAATATATTAATAAATTATTATCAACTTCTTTTGAAAATACACCAATAAATAATAATATTGGTATTGGTTTTTTGTCAACTCCAGTCCCAAAATTTAAAAATAAAATATATTAATAAATTATTATCAACTTCTTTTGAAAATACGTCTTTTATTATAATATTTGAAAATTATTATTATCATAATACATATGTATTATTTTTTTTTAATTATCGAATACACTGTATTATTGTCCGTAAACTTGACTAAATATATATATTTTTTCGGTTGAACCATTAGTTATATTTATTTACTTTTTACTTTTAATTTTATTTCTTATGCAAAATTGTAAATACAAATTTTAATTTTTGGTGTCATTGTTTTTTGAAATATTTTAAAGGAATACTTTTTAAAATATAAGAAATTATGCATATAATCTATATAATATATATTTCAATAAAACATCATTATAGTATTCCAATAAAAACATAAGCAACAATTCTAAATATCATGACATTTTTGTTCATATATTTGTTGATTATGAAAAAAAAAAGAAGTTAATTTTTATTAAAATATATGAGAAATAATTATATAATTAAGGAAACTTATAAACAATATACTTCGTTCTGTCCCAATTCAAAATACATTTTTTTACTATTTTTGTTAGTCTTATTCAAAAGTATCTATTACCTATTTTAGTAAAAGTAATCGTACACTAATATCAAAATACCATTAATTTTACTTAAAGTACAAATATAATTTACACACTATATTACTTTATACATAACATCAAATGGCAAAATTGTCAAAACTTTTTACACACTTTTACTAACTAATAAAATAATATTATTTATTAATTTATTACAAAATCCCCAAATGGTACATTCATCCGGGACGGAGGAAGTATAGAAACAAATAAGACGACACAAGGTGGTTGATGTTTTCCAAAAATTATTTTTTTAATTAAAATTAGATTTGATTCGTGACTACATCTTGAATTTTTTGAATTAAAAAAGTCAAACTTATTTATTATAATGAATATTTCACGTCTTTAAAACTTTGAATCATATGCCAATACATGAACATCATTTCAAAATAAAATACATTTTGTGTAGTTTACCTTAGACATCATAAGAGTGTTACAATGATAGTTGTTGAGTAAGAAAAAAATCAATGCATAGGGTTTCTTGAGAATAAGCTTATAAATTGGATTGATGTATAGTCCAATGAGCCTGATAATGGTAGTAGGGTTTTAAATGAAGTCGGGCGAAGAAGGATGAGACGACCAATACGGAGGTCGGACAAGATGAAGTCGGACAAAGGAGGATGAGACGGACGATACGGAGGTCGGACAAAATGAAGTCGGGCGAAGAAAGATGAGACGGCCGATAAGGAGGTCGGACAAGACAAGGTCGGACGAAGAAAGATGAGACGGTCGATACGGGGGTCACACAAGAGGAAAGTGGGCTTCTAGGGGCTCATTTGGAAAATGTCTGTTAATTGGTCGCTTAATTAAGCGACCAGTTAATCGACTGATCGATTGGCCGGTTATTTGGTCAAACAGTAGTTTAGTCGCTTGAAAGGGCGATCAGTTGGTCGTTTGATTGGGCGACCAATGAATTGTCTAGACGAACTGTTGCTCAGCCGTTTGAAGGGACTGGATGGTGGTCGCTTAATTGGGCGACCAATAAATCGCCTGGACGAACGGTTGTTCAGCCGTTTGAAGGGACTGGATAGTGGTCGCTTGATTGGGCGACCGATGAATCGTCTGGACGAATGGTTGTTCAGCCGATTGAAGGGATTGGATGGTGGTCGCTTAATTGGGCGATCGATGAATCGTCTGGACGAATGGTTGTTCAGCTGTTTGAAGGGACAGAATGGTGGTCGCTCGAGTGGGCAACTGATTAGTCGTTTGGTCTAGCGACCAGTTAGTATCTGGATTGGTCGGTTGGTTAATCGTTGGGTTATTCGGTAGGTTCAGTCGGTGGATGGTCCAGACGGTTTCTCAGTCGGATGGTGAATCAGTTTGAAAAGACGGTTAAGGGAAGTTACAATCGGCGAGCGGATCGAACGGTTGAGTAGTCGTTCGGGACCAGCCGTCCATTTCAGGAGGTAAGGTGCCCAGAGGCAGTCGGTCGAGCCAGTTGGGTTATGTAACTGGTGGGAGCGGTTGGTGAAACAGTTAAAACACGTGTCAATGGAGGAGGAATTAGTAGCGGTTGACGGCGGTTGCTGTAATCGAACAGATGACGGTTCCCAAACCTTTTTTTAAGGAGTATTTAAAGATTTGGGTCTGTTTTGAAAAAACATCTTCAATCGACATAAAATTTAGTGAATTGTTGTTGGGGATCACCATTTACTTTTTCAGTCTATAGTATTTATTTTCCTAGTTTACTTATGTATCGTATGGTGTTTAGAGATTTTTAATCTCAAGTATTTATTTTATCAAATTCGAAGATAATTTCTATTTTCGAATTTTATTTTTTATCGATGAAAATTCGCATCAACAATAGTATAAGTAACAAAATAAATTTTGTGTAATTTAAGTTAGACATCGTAACAGTGTTACAATGATAGCATAAGTGACAGATCTATATATCATTAATTTTTTGAATAATTTTATTTAGAAAGTACCTAATTACATACATTTCTAATTTATATAGATTAATTTTTTCAAATATAATATATCTAGTTAACGTATTTAACTTTCTCTTAGTTAATTACCATCCATTTATTTTTTTAAAAATACCTAAAATACTTTCGATTAATTTTAGTCGTTGGATTACCATTACAATTGATCCAATGACTCAAATAAAATGAAGATTCCCAAATATTGTATAGCATCAGGAGATACCAGCAACCCAAAAAAAGATATGTATAAACCGATTAAAGATAATTGGAGGTTGGTATTTTACTAACTATATTTCTTGTTGAAATAAAAGATTGATTGTGTAATATATGTATACTTCCTTATCATGCAAATAAAAAAATGTAATTAACTAAAAATAAAAATAAAAATAAATCAATCTAAAAAAAATAAAATTAATTAACCAATTATATCATTTTGCATAAAATATTTTCTTATACAATATAAAAACTTATTTGTATTATTAATAGAATATAATTTCATTAAACTAAAAGCAAATCATATAAATATATAATTTAGTAAATATTCCCTCTATTCCAACTTTTTTTTTTGGTCTATGTTATTGTATATATATAAGAGAATTTAGGTAAAATATAATTAGTAATTAATTAAGACATATATCAGTAAAAATAATTATTGTATAATAAAAATAATTATAATTCAAATTAAAATAATTAAATAATTTAATTAAAATAATAAAATTATAAATTTGACTTCCACGTAAGCTTCTTTTTCGCCCTTAACTTTGAAATGAGCTTGGCTACTTCTTCTCCACACTTCTTTTTTTTTGTGCGCGTTCTAAGATAGTCCCCTATCACTAGGCTCACCAACCACCTTGAACCTCTATTTTTTTTTTTCTATCATTCACGTCGGATATCAGACAATTATAGAAGACAGTTCCATGCCATTGAGAGTTTTATCTGAGGTTCAGTGAACACCATGCCGAATCTCTCTACCATTTTCTTCTCTTTCAAATTATGAAATTTAATATATAATTAAAATAAATAATTATATTTTCATAAAAATAAAAAATTATGTGAAAATAAAAAATAAAAAAAATATTTTAAATGGAATGGAAAGAATATATTAATAATGATTGTGAGTCCAATCAATAAGTGGGCCCACACCTATTATTACTTAGTTTCATGCCAAATAAATTGAATGTCTTTGAATGAACATGTTTGTGTTGTATATATGCATTTATATATTGATTAATTGAATCAACACGAGCACATTATAATTAACACGACTGTATTTGTTACAGATTATGTGCCATGTTAGAAAATGGATTAAACTATATATTGATTTGAACTAATTTTGATGAAATTTTTCTTTTATAGAACTAAAATTGATCGAACGAGACTATAAATAATTTTTTATTCAGCATCTTCATTAATAGCCTTTGAATTACAAAATCAATCTAAGAATCTGTATTAATTTAGGGATATAAGAGTAATTTTACTACTGAGTTATCTAACAGTCTCTTGCATTATTCCTCGTTTCTCTTCTTATAACGTCAACATCGCACATACAAACAAAGTAGAATCCTCCAACAAAATTTATGGACGGCATCGATGGAGACGAGCAAAATTTATTTGTCATTACCCCAACTTCAATCAATTCTTCAAGAAGCAACGGAGACATCAAAGAACTTGGAGTTTAAAATATTTCATCTCCTTTGGCAATACCCGGATGACGCACTCGAAATTGCCCGTAAGTAAAATATGGATAATGAAAATGAAATCGCCAAAAAACCTCATTCGATTTATTAAATTATTGTTTCTTTAGTCAAATTTGGATAATAATATATGAAACTATGTTAATCTAATTGTTTTTCATAGTTTTCCAAGATTTGAAGCGTGTTCATATGTTAAGAATATTTATGTGTGCATGGAAAAACATTTGATATATGTTGTACAATATGACATTTGATGAGGTTAAATACAAAATTTAGCATTTTCTTTGTTGTGTGAAACTATTTTAAAATTCAATAGACAACATATAATTTGATATTTTTCAACATCTAATACATAGAAGATCCATAGATTGACATGCAATGAAATTTACAAAATTAGAATTTGCATACAATTTCTGTTCTGAGTATGCATACAATAGAGACTTTTTTAGTTATTATTAAAATGCAATAATAATAATAATAAATAAATAAAAAATGACTTATGTCAAATACAATATATGAAATATTTTTGCAACAAAGCGATGTAAAAAGATGACAACAATCTGAAACCATATCAAATTGAGATTCATCTAGAAAAATGCTGCAAATTAGGAAGGATTAAGACAATGTGTCGTAATTCTAAGACGAGAACAAACATGATGAAAAATTCGGTGAATACATATAATTTATTCCTGTGAAGTCAGCATGTATATATATTGCACAAAACATTTTATTGATTACTTAAAAGTATATTATTATATTGTAGATAACATTTTTATTTTTTACAATCAACATTACCTATTGTTATCCCTAACAGGATATTATTGTGTTATCATTAGAATATTAGTATACTGAGGATAACATATTAACCTCTTACAATCAATATGTATATATATTGAAAAAAAACATATTTAATTGATTACTTACAAACATATTGCTATACCAATTATAGCATATTCATCTAGTATAATCAACATTTAAACAAAGTCTTTAAATATAATTTTATATGATTCAATTCATCGTTTTTTTGTTCTAATAACATTCGTAACATATTCTTTTAAAAAAATAAAAATTAAATCCATCAATTCAATTCATTACAAACAATTTCATTTACCGTCAATCTATCAATTTAATAAATCACATGTAACAAGTCATTCAATTCATCGTATACATCACAATCAATTTCTTCTTTGTCCGTCAATATATCTTTTTGCACATATTTTAATGTGTGGTTTTTTTGGTTTAACAACCGTATTTTCACTTTCTTCCAATAAACTTTTTCCACTTTTAGCAAGTTTCGATTTCTCTCTCACGTACTCAACCCTTTGATTCTCACCCTGCAACAAGATTTGGAAATAATTATTTCATCATTGTATCAAAAATCTCACATTTGACGCTCGCATTCATTAACAAACTCCTTATCACTTTTTCGAGCAAAATTATTATCAATCTTAACCCGAATCATATACTACATGCAACAATCAACATACCATTACTTAATTTCTACCATAAGCATATTGGATCCCATGTGTTAGCATAAAGAAAATAAACAATAAATTTTTTCAAGTAAAATATTAAGCAGACGCGATTATATACTCACAACTATTTTGAACAATCAAGTAACTTAAAATATTCACTATTTGAATGTAAAAAACTTAATAATTGCATAATAGGAGCCACGAGACAACCATCGATTTACATAAAAAAATGGCACTTAAACCAACTAGATTTAATCAACTTAGAGAAATTCTCACCGGAAGGATGGAAGAAAATCTCATTCAATTGTACGATTGTCTTAAGAATGCACGGAAACTATAAATTAGGGTCATTCGAACCCGAAAGCTTCTCCATTTTTATTTATGTTAACAATAGATATTAAACACGAAGGAGTTGCGAGATTTTTTTGAATAAAACCCAAATTAAATTGAATCAAATAAAAAAAAAAAGAAATTAAACTAAATCAAAAACTAAAACTTAAAGCTGAAAATTAATAAAAATTCAAACAGATACTAAAATGGGCAATTGAAATTGAAATCAATTATAAACAACTTTTTGTTCGTTTTCTTTGTCTGGCCACCGATTTTCCTAAATTGGATGATGATTTCAATCCCGACCAGTGACAGATCGACGCCTACTCCGGTGGACAACATCAACATCCGGACGGATAGCAGCTCTGATCGATGGTAGTTCGACTTCTAGTGATGACTTTTCCCAACGAACAACAACACTGGCAGCAGGTTCAATCTACATTGAGCAAAAAACGACGGAAACAACAGCGCAATCCTCCGATCGAGTCCTGCAAGTTGAATACGAAGAATTTTTTATTTCCAGTCATGAGCGATTGAATTCTGTTCACGAGAGCTTCGACAAGACAAACTCCCTATTTGCAGGTCTTGAAGACAAGGAAATAAAATTAGCACAGTGCTTATTGGTCCGACACATGTTTTATCAAGATGCGGCTGGGGATCCGGTGCAACAATCTGAAACTCAAACAGGTGCCCACAACCTCAAACTCAAATTTGAACTAATAATAACAAGAGTAAAAATCATGGCCCCATTCAATATCATAATTATCAATTTTGGTCTTATTCAAAAAAAGATTATCAATTTTGGTCCAACTCAAATAAAAATTTATCAATTTTAGTCCCAAGATGGTTGACTGGGACTGAATACGGCCGTGTTGGCTTGAACACGGTCATGTTGGATGACTCAAAAGGTGACTGGGCATCCCAGGCAGCCAACACGGCCGTGTTGATTATCTTGCACTTCTGAAGACGGCTGTGTTCCTGTCCGTGTTCTAAACACAGCCATGTTCCTACTCATGTTTCTACCCATGTTCTCAACACAACCACGTTTTAAGTCATGTTCTTGTCATGTTCTCAATACAACCATGTTCTAGGCCATGTTCACGACCATATTTTCAATATAATCATATTGTAGGTCATATTTATTATTATTTTTTTTTTTGTTAAAATGATTTGATATATATATATTTATAATTCAACAAAAATATTTTTTACAATTATTTCATAATATAAAAAATAATCAATTTTTAATATTTTAAAAATATATCAAAATAATAATATATTAATATATATTTTTAATAATCATCATTATATATATTTTTAAAAATTTATAGTAAAAATTTTAAACTATTATTTTAAAATAATTATTTCTATAAATTATAAATTAAATTTATTATTCAAAATAATATTTTAAAATAATAATCCCTCCGTCCCAAGTTGGATGTCTGGGTCACTGTAGATACGAGAATTTAAGATAAGTATAATTAGTACATAATTAAGAATGTATCAGTGAAAAATAATTATTATATAATATAAATAATTATAAATTAAGATAAAATAACTCATTAGTTTAATTAAAATAAAAAAAATTAAATTAAAAATAGTGTGTAATTATTTTTAATATATATTACTAAAAATATATATTAATATATTATTATTTTATATATTTTTAAAATATTAAAAATTGATTATTTTTATATTATAAAATAATTGTAAAAAATATTTTTGTAGAATTATAAAAAAATATATATCAAATAATTTTAACCAAAAAATGAAAATAATAATAAATATGACCTACAATATGATTATATTGAAAACATGGTCTAAAACATGGTTGTGTTGAGAACATGGACAGAAACATGACCTAGAACATGACTGTGTTGAAAACATAGGCAGAAACATGGGCAAAAAAATGGCTATGTTCAGAACACAGGCAGGAACACGACCATGTTCAAAAGTGCAGTGTAATCAACATGACCGTGCTGAGACCAACATGGGCCGTGTTGACTGCCTGGGATGCCCAAACACCTTCTGAGTCATCCAACACGGTCGTGTTCAAGCCAACACGACCGTGTTCAGTTTTAGTCAACCATCTTGGGACTAAAATTAATAAATTTTTATTTGAGTGAGACCAAAATTGATAATTTTTTTGAATAAGACCAAAATTGATAATTATGATATCGAATAAGATCAAAAATAATTTTTACTCTAATAACAATATTAATAATAATATCCAGAACCGAAATTTAAAAGAATTTTTACTTTTTTATTAAATTTTTTTTTCAAAAACATGAATCAAATATTTATTTTTAATTTTTATATAATTTTAAAAATTAATTTTAAAATCAACACAAAACAATGCAACTATTCCAATTCAAAATTAAAATTTTTTACATTGTTTCAATCCTAACCGTGCACACACCAACTGTAGGTAGGTCGCGACAAAGATGATAATATTAATATATATTTATATGATGATTAAACCCTGCAAATGCAATTAATTATTATTATTGGCAGCAATCTTCCCCTTCAAATCCCTGAGAAAGCACTGGAAATTCCTGGCCGAAGATCCATCCATGGCCGCCTCTTCCAGAACCTTCCTCACCTGTATCACCTCCTTCTGCAACTCCGACGACATCAGCCTCTTAATTTTCTCACAGACCCCTTCTCTCCACACCACGCAATCGCCGTCGCCGTTGCTCTCGCTGTACCTCCGGCCGTCGCAGAGATTGATCCCAATTTTCAGATCATCCACCACCAATTTCCGATTCGTGAACTGATCCGTCAACAGCGGGTAGCAAATCATCGGAATTCCACACCAGATGCTCTCCAGAATCGAATTCCAGCCGCAGTGCGTCAGAAACCCTCCCACCGCCGGATTCGCCAGCACCGCCATCTGCCTGCACCACGGCACCACCAATCCCCGCCCGGAGGCCGCCATTTCCTCCTCGAATCCGGCGGGAAGGATGTCGGTCTCGCCGGAGCTGACGATGTCCGGTCGGAGCACCCAAATGAAATCGACGCCGCTCAGCGCTAAGCCGCCGGCGATCTCGGCGATTTCGCGGCGGCTCGCGTGGGCATAGCTGCCGAAGGAGACGTAGAGGACGGAGCGGCTCGGCTTGGCGGCGAGCCAGTCGGCGCAGTCGGACTCCGACCAGAAGCTTGTGGCGATTCCGGTGGCGGTGAAGGTTGGGGGGAAGATGGGGCCGACGGCGTAGAAAGGCTGGCGGCGGCGTAGGGCGGCGATAGTGTCGGGCTCGAGTTCGTCCACGGTGTTGCAGAGGATGAAGTCGGCTTTCTTGACGTCGTTGAAGGCCTTTTGGATGATCCGATGCGGCGTCGTATTGATGTCGATTTTGGCTTGAAGATACGACATCAAATCGGTCGGCATTATCGACTTCACTCCAGGTATGTAGTCTATGGCGTCCTCTCGATTTTCTGCTCGTTCGCCAAAATACTAGTAATAATAATCATACTGTTGTTTTCTATGTATGTGTTTGTTTAGGTTAATATTTTGTATTAAAAGATTACTTTTCTTTTATAAATAGATAAAAAATATATATCGTTTTAATGTTTGTATATTTTTTGTTTGTTTTTTTTAAATAATGTTTGTATATAAGTATACTGTAATGTTTGTATATACCATTAAAAGTCCTTTTAACGGTCTATCTATTTTTTTTTTTATTTTGGTCTGTCTTAAAATAAAATATATATATATTTTTAGTAATTATACCATCTACTGAATATTACAAATACCCTTTTAATTTACAATTAGACAAATTTGTATCATACAATATTAATAAAGTTAATTTAATATTTCTACTTTTATTTTTACTATATTCCAATATAATACTAATAATTCTAAAACTCGCTGTAAAAAAGAAACTAATAGATAAATATGAGACGGATGAAGTATAAGCATCTCAACACGATAAAATTATACTATTTTTTTAAATAAAATATCATATCAAAATATTATTTAAATTAAAATTCAAATTTAAAATCAATATTTTCAAGTTGAGATTGCGGTTGCGGTTTTCCACGTCATGAAAACAAATAATAATAATAAAAAAAATCAATATTCAATACAAAATATTTATTTTTTATATTACAAGTTCAATATTTTATACTTTACATAAAAAATAAGGAAAAACATATTTCAACAATTCAATACAAATAGTATTTCGGCAGTCGAATTTTTTTGTTATCCATTAAATTTATACACAATTATTTATTAATAAATAATTCTATTTACTCAAACTATTATTACTCCTTTTTTACCAAATAATCAATAAATCAATTTGTCACTTTTCTCTACTTACCCCATTGCTTTTTTAGCCCCAACAAAAAGAGTATTTCCAAAATCACAAAATACACACACCAAGTGTTAAAAAAATTTTTCTTTTTAAAAAAATGTCAAAATATTGATACAATTTGTTTGATAATTGATTTGAAATAAGATATTGATTTGAATTTTTATTTAAATACTCAATTTTGATGTAATATTTTATAAACGAAAATAATATTAGTTCTGTCTCTTAACAATTTATCTATTTTTTTATTTTGGTTCATCCAATAATAAAGTGTCCATTTTTTTTTTTAGACCTAACATTACAAATACTCTTCTAATTTACAATATATTAAACACATGTTATTATCTTTATATCATAAAATACTAATAAAACTAGTTTAGTTTTTTTACTTTTATTTCTACTACATTCTACTATAATACTAATATTTTTAAAATTTTATGTAAAAAAAATAGATAGATAAATACGAGACTATTTTTATTGAAAATGATGTGAAATGAATATTGTTAATTTTAGTTCAAAATGCTTAAAGAACATTCCATTGACATATATGTTTATTTTTTTTAATTATATGTAAAAGCTGATGGTGTTGGATTTGTTTTGTTTATGATTAAGTTAGAATTTTGATTTAAATAAAATTTTCATAACATATTTTATATATAATATGTATATTTTTATAAAATTTATTCGATTGGGTAATATTCTTTCCCTCCCACATAATTTGTTCATATTTTCTATTTTCGTCTGTCCCATATAACTTGTCCATTCTATTTTTGGAAATATATTAGGCACTTTAATCACATTTTAAATTTTAAATTTTATAATTTTTTTAATTTTAATTAAACTATTTAGTTATCTTAATCTTAATTTATAATTATTTTTACTAAATAATAATTATTTTTACTAATATATTTTTTTATTACTTATTAATTATATTTTACCTAAATTCTCGTGTCCACAGTAATACACCCATGTTAGGAGGCAGTAGAAAAAATTGGATTGAAGTTAAAATCAAGCATAAAGTTGCTCAAGTAACCAACCAGTTTAGCTCAGGTTTTAAACTAGGAAAAAAAATGGTCCCGGGCCAGGCCAATTCCAAATTGATTTTTAATGTATTAGTTGTAATGGAAATTGAAAAGAATTGTTGATTTAAATTTTTATTTAAATATTTTTAAATATATATATATTTTTACTAAAAATTTTATAAAATAAATAATACTTTCTTTTTAATGTATTACATATTACTCTCTCCATCCCACATACCGTGTATGCTACACAGTAGATACGGTATTTTAGGAGAGATGTAATTAGTAGATAATTAATAATGTATTAGTGAAAATAATTATCCGATAATATAAATAATTATAAATTAAGATTAAGATAACTAATTAGTTTAATTAAAATTTTTAAAAAATAAAATTAAAAAATTTAAAATAAGATTAAAGTGTGTAATCATTTTCCAAAAAAAGAAAGTGACATGGTATGTGGGACGGACTGAAACAGCAACGTGGACATGGTATTTGGGACGGAGGGAGTATATCATAGTATTAGTTTAGGAGTATGTTTGTTTTACGAAATAATTTGAATTACTATTTTTTTTATAAGAAGTATGATAAATTATGTAGATAATATAAAAATAATAAATATATATGATGTATTAATATTTTTTAAAATGTGTGTATTTTTTTTGTTGAAAAAACACAATATAGATTCCTCTGCATCACATATTATTTATTAATTTTTTATTTTTTTTTAAATGATTATACTTTAATTATATTTTATAATTTATTATATTAATTAATTATTTTAATTATAATATATAATTATTTATATTTCATAATATAATTAATTTTACTATACCTTTTTAATTAGTTCTTAGTAATGTCATTCTTTATTTTTTTCGTCTGTAGTGTTAGTAAATAGAATATTAATTTTAATTTAAAATCATAACTATATATAACATTAATTGTCTGTTTCCTTAGATTTCATTTGAAAGAAATTATTTAAAATTTTATATTTAAATAATATTTAACGAAAAATACGCTCAAATTAAAATTTATAAAAATTTTTACAAACAAAATAAAAATAACACACACATGTGTCAGAGAATTTACCGGTTCGAACCTACGCTGGTCAGATCCACTGAACACGTTCAAATATGGACTTTGTTGGAGAAAATTTGCTCCAATCCACTCCATATTTGGAGATGTAGCTGGTTTGCTCTTTATTTTTTTTTTTTAAATAATAATAAAAAATCTTATATTTATTTTTAAGTTTTAAATTTTTTTTAAAAGATAATATTAATTTTAGATACAAAAAATGCTTTAAAATAAAATATAAAATTAAATATTTGAATAATATTCTTTTTGGAGTTAAAATTAGAATTGTAAGTTGGAGTAAAAATATTGTAACAGTAACTTTTTTAGAGTGAAAACTATATAAATAGAGTTCATGGGTTGAAAATGGCTTAAGCGGTTCTGTTTTCGCTGGGAGCGTTTGATACAAATAATGAAATTGTAGAGAAATGACCATAGAGAATGAAAAGTAATTCTCTTATTTTGGTAAAATAGAAAATTTAGATGAGAAATGTAAAAGAAAATTGCAGCTATTTGAATAGATTGAACAAGAATAACTGATTAATTGGATAAAAGAGAGTTTTAATGTGAGAATTCAAAAAAAAAAATAAAATTGATGAATTCTTTTAAAAATTTATAAATTATATACTTTGTTTGTACAATTATATTTTATTATATTTTTAAAAATCGTAAAAATTAAATTTTTGAATAATAAATTTAATGTAATTTTGTAAAATTGAAATAATATACTTTCCAAAAATTAAATAGTACTAAAAAAGATTAAAAAAAAATACTGCACTATTCATTTCTCTTTATTTTTCTGACACTTGAGATAAATAAAAATATTTCTATTTTAAGCTGTCAAATTCTCTATACTAAACACATTTTTGAAGTTATTTTTAATACAAATTATCACATATATTTTAATAAAATATATATATATTTAAGAAAATCAAAATTATTATTATTATTATTATTGTTGTTGTTGATGATGTTATTATTATTAGAATACAAATTCAAAATTTTTGTACGAAAAAAAGTATTTTTATTAGAAAGTATAATAAAAAATTTTCAAATAGAATAGGATAGGTTGCTTTTTGGTTTTTTTTTTTTTTTTTTTATATTGTCTTTAAAAAAATATTTTATATAAACATTAATACGGTTATTATGCTCTTTCAACATTATTTTTTAATTACAATTTTTTTTTATAAAAAATAATAAAAAATATAAAATATTTTATAAAAAAGTTAAAATACCCCTTATAAAAAAAGTAAAACATTTATTAAAAAAATCAAATATAAAATATTAAATACTCCTTCCGTCCCACATACTATGTCCACGTTGCCGTTTCTGTCCGTCCCACGTACCATGTCGTTTTTCTTTTTTGGAAAATGATTACACACTTTAATTTAATTTTAAACTTTTTAATTTTTTTTTTAAATTTTAATTAAACTAATTAGTTATCTTAATCTTAATTTATAATTATTTATATTATAAAATAATTATTTTTACTAATACATTCTTAATTATCTACTAATTATATCTCTCTTAAAATACCGTGTCTAAGGTATAGCAGACATGATATATATAGGATGAAGATAGTAATATACTATTTTATATATTTTTTTATATCATATACGAAAAATCGATAATCCTATTTTTATAGAAAAATGCGAGTTATCTAAACAAATAATAATTATAATAATATAAAACATCTGAAGAATAAAACAGTAGAGTTGAGTACGACGTTTTTAAGTGGAATTTATAAACAATACTACTAGATATTTTATTACTCTTTTCCTTACAACCAATAATTAACCTATTTTATTAGTGTGATAAGTTAAGAATATTTAATTAATTAATAATTATAAATTATGATATTATTTTATAATACAAAATAAATAAAAGAATATGTTTATTTATTTATAGTAACATAAATTAATCTTTATAAAAAATATAGAATTTTCAATATAAATAAATATATTTATTTTTTAGAAAAATAGATAAATAAAATAATTTTGAGTTGATTTTAATATAAAATGTTATATATAAAATGTAAAGTAGGAATTATATTTTACCTAAAAAAATGTGTCGATTATTATATAAAAAAGACATAAGTAAAAATATTAAATAGCTTTTATTTTCGATTAAATAATTTTTATTTTATTTTATTTTAAAGATAATCTTAAGGAAAATAAAATCTGAGAAGAGAGATAAACACAGGATGAGAGTGAGGGCGTACCGGAGGCGGCGAAGTGGCGGTGGCGGCGGAGGAGGTCGATATGGTAGTAGAGAGTGAAGACGAGGGCGGGTTCCGTGAAGAAAGATATGTTCGCGAGGTTATGCTTCTCGGCGATGGCGGACGGCCAGACGTAGAACGTGTCGAAGATCATGCCGCCGATCGACGGGTCTCGCCGGCGGAGGTTTCCGACGAGTTCGTCGACGTGGGCGGAGAAGACGTGGACGATCCCCTCGAAGAACTGGTCGTGGTGGAGGGACCGGTCGAACTCCACCGGGAAGCCGTCGCTCACGGTGGTGTACCGGATATCCAGCCCGGACTTGCGAGCTTCGGCGAATAAGTCGCCGCCGCCGCCGGCGGAGGAGGAGATCTGGCGGTGGATGTAGTCGGTGTTGATGAAGGTGACGGTGAAGCCGGCGGCGGCGAGCTTGACGGCGAGGTTGACGAAGGGGATGACGTGGCCCTGGAGAGGGTACGGAAGCATTAATACGTGCGGCGGCGGTGGCTTTCCGGCGGCATCCGCCATTGTTATGTCTTTAGTCATATGTATAATATGCTTAGTTAAATTTCTTCCTTTTTATGTATGTCCGTGTGTATGTATATATATATACTTATTTAGATACGGCCATCCAATGAATAAAAACAAAATATTAATATCTAATGTGATACTCTCTCCGTCTCGGATATTTTGTTTGTTGTACCATAGACACAAGAATTTAAAAATGTATTATTGAAAATAATTATCGTATAATAAAAATAATTATAGATTAAGATTAATATAATTGATTATTATAATTAAAATTAAAAAAATTATAAATTAAACTTTTTAAAATAAGATTAAAGTGTATAATTTTTTTTTCAAAAAAAAAAGTGACAAAATAAGTGGGAAGGGCGGAAATGAAAAAGTGGACGTGAGATGTGGGATGAAGGAAGTATTTTTTAAGAAAAAAATATTTAATATGATATTTTTTAAAAAATAAATATATTCAAATGAATGAAACTTACTGATGCAAAAAGAGATATGTTGGAAGTCGCGGAGAGGGGCGCGTAAAAGGTCAACGCCTTCGAGTATTTTGCACAGCGGAACTGTGAAACGTTCGACGTAATCACAGCTTTACAATGTAGTTGTCTTGCGGTTATAACAGAGGTGTGTTCATGCACAAATCGATGGCTGAATAAGTGCAGAAAGAAAAACAACACACCAAGTTTGTTTACCCAGTTCGGTTTTCCAACCTACGTCTGGGGGGATTCCAATCCAAGAGTCTTAACTAAACCAAACACTTGGTATACACCATATAAGACACCAAACCGAATTACCCAACCTATCTTCTACCCAAGCTCCATTTAGTTTTACAAACTCTCATGAACTGGTTGTTACGACACCGCAAAAACTCCAGCAGGCCAGCGACCAAGCTAAGAATAAGGTTGTTTACCGGATGATATCTTCTTCGGCTTCGACTTCAAGAATCCTTCTTCTCGTCTTCAATCCTCCTGGATGAGCTCTCTCAACACTCTAACGGGTGAAGAGAATACTTACTCTCTAAGTATTAGTTGCTCACCCACGAAAACAAACAAACATCCATACAAAATATGTACACACTACACAAAGGATAAAAGTTGATTATGACAACTTTTGGAGCAGTGTATTCAAAGTCATTTAATGTCATCCAGTATGAGAGGACAATACATACAATCTCTCATGCACTTCCTCTATCCAATGCATATTCATTTGTCATGTTCCATCGAGTGTAGGACATGCAAGATGCATCCAAAACCTATAATTCGGTCAACTCTGTAGTTGGCAGGTTTCTCGAAATGGTGTTAAACAAAAGCTGCATAAGCATCCTGCATATTTGCTCATATGCCAAAAGTAGAAACAAAAGGGTCTGACAATTTTGAATATGCCAACAATCTCCCCCTTTTTGGCATATATAGCAAGGCATAATAAATAGCAAACACACACACCATTCACACATCCACACCACAATCACAATCTGGTTCAGAGTTATTACAGACTATCAATTCGAACAAGCCACAAACGGCTTTAACATCCAAATGTTGTAACAACAAAAAAACATCGGCAGTTTATCAAAAGCAAGCAGAAAACATAATAAGCAAATAGTAGATGGTAATACCAATTCCTCCTCAACAACACACACTTCCCTTGGCTTGCTGCATTCTCCCCCTTGCATTGCAGCAGAGGCCAAAAAGAGATGGTCAAGGGTCGGCTTCCTCCGTACCATCACCATCTTTATCATCATCTCCATCAGTATCCTCATCATCTACGTTTCCAGGTTTGTGAGGCATCAACCTCATGGCCTGTGCCACTTTTTGATTATGAGCAATGAGGGCAGCATACAGAGTAGATTGATCCCTCATGACTTCACTCAGTAGCGCCCTACACTTCTTTATGCGAGCATCGACATCCAATGGGGCACCGAGAAGAAAGTTATTGTGAAGCTTTTTGAGGTTGGACTGGGCAATAAATGATCGATGAGAAACACCTCATCATCCGGTTCTGGATGAATTCCCTTGGAACTTATGAACAAACAAATTAAAATGGGATAGGGCAATCGTGTCCATTCTACTTTTGTATCCGAACAAAAGTCAATCATCTTCTTGATTACCAAATAGCCAAAATTAATTAGCTCAAAATATTTATCAATAGAGAAGATGAGAGTACCCATATCAGTGCTGATACTTGTATTGTTGACGGTTGGTAAGATATTGCATCCACAAAGTCGAAAGAGACACTGATACTTCATCGTCAGCAGTGTTCCAGTCACTCCAGAACGTCCAAATGATGAAGCATTTCCAGCAGATATGGTTCTGCAAACCTACTTTGTTGATTCACCAATCAGCTCAAATGACAGCTTATTTTCATCATTCGCCGGCAGTTGTAACAACTTATTGATTACTGCAGGGCTAAGTTCCAAATTTTTGCCACAAATATATATCTTATGATACCAGAGAGAGTTCGGATCGAGTACCTACCCACTCAAATTGGCATAAAAATCCTTGACAAGGTGAGGACAGTAACGCTCCAATCCGGTCACCCAAAACAACAAATGCCTTTCCTCAAGGAACGCACGAAATCCGACATCGGTATACGCTCTCCGAATGAACTGAGCTTCTGAAATCACAGTCCTTCCAGCAAAAACATCCTGAGCATAGCGACGCCGAGAAACATAATAATATGCCTCATTCAACGTTATCTTCACGAACAACAGGAGGATCAGAAACTCCTTTAGACTTTCAAGTCTTTGCCTTAGTCCTTTTGAAAGTCTTTTTAGCGGGGGCAGGGGCATTGCGAGACGAACTGCCATGCTTTCTTTTCCGGAGTCTGTCCAAAGCAGAGGACAGATGAAGAGAGTCCAACTAATCTTCTTCTTCTTCATCGATTTTGGGGGGTTCCACAGGAAGAGCTTCTCCTTCCTCAACCACATTTTTCAGGAATGACTTGTTCCGCCTCTGTAGCTTCAAAATTCATATCCACGGGTTGGGGCACTTCTGTTCCAACTCCTTCAATGTCTTCAGCAGACACCTCTTCATGCACAACCTTACTTTCAGGTTCATCAACAACAGGAATCTCTTCTGTGGTTGTAGCAACCTCTGCATCACCACCAGTAACAGTTTCAACTTCTTGAACATCAACAGGGTTTTCCTTAGTATTTTTTTCTTGTGCGTCAGCCATTTCAACAGCGACTTCATCTTTATTTGTAGTTTCCATGGGTGCAACTTCGTTTAGATCGATTTCGTGCACAACAACATATTTCGCTACATGACCTTCAAGTCCTTCAGAAAAAGAACGATCTTCAGCAGTTGAGACAGCGGTTCCTTCATCATGGGCTATATCAGTTGCTGGAATCTCAACATCACGATCAGGTTTTCCATCAAATATTCATGAACAGTTTCAAGAACAGGGGAAAAGAGTTCAAGCAGCTTCTTTCCTTTCTTTGTAGTTCCAACTTTCCTCTTTGAAACAGATTTTGGCTTAAAATCCTTGGCAACTCCACCGGAACGAGTTTTCACCACGGTTGAAGATTTTGAGAGAAAACTCCTTCACAAGTTGAAATTGGGGTTTAGAGTGAAAAAAATGGCTGATGTATGTGCACTCTGATATGAAGATATAGATACAGGGGAATAAAAAACCCTTCACACGCCACCTTCATTAATTCCCATCAATCTAGGCGCGTGGGATGTCAGAGCGACGTTTCGACATCGGGACATTGCCCAAGGCAGTAGACTATGTAACCCTAAAATGGCTATAAATTTCCCTTCCAATAATATTACGCCACATATTTCTCCTTTCCTTATATTTATCCAATATTCCAAAATATATCTAAATAAAATCCCATGAATATTGGACTTAATTCCTTCAATAATCCAAATTAGTTAAGGTATGAATACATACCTAATTCTCTTCTCAATTTCTCAAACCTTTCTGAATCCAATGTTTTGGTGAAGATGTCTGTCTTTTGAAAATCAGTTCCAATGTGCTGCAGTTTGCACACTTCAGCTTCCACAAGCGTTCGGATAAAATGATATCGAATTTCTATGTGCTTCGTTCGACCATGTTGAACTGGATTCTTCGATATGTTGATTGCACTGGTGTTGTCACACCACAGTACAAACGACTCATTCTCAATTCCATAATCCTTCAACATTTGCTTGATCCATAACAATTGCGCACATCAACTTCCAGCGGCTACATACTCCGCCTCAGCAGTAAACAAAGTAATCGAACTTTGTTTTTTGGAACTTCAACTGATCAAATTTTCACCAATGTAAAAACATCCTCCCGTTGTACTCTTCCAGTCATCACAACATCCGGCCCAATCGGAATCAGTAAATCCAATTAGATCAAGTGATGATCTCTTAGAATATCATAATCCAAGTTCGGACATTCCATTAATATACCTCAAAATTCTTTTTGCGGCTTTCAAGTGAGATTCTTTCAGGGCTGATTGGAATCGAGCACAAACACCAACACTAAATGTGATATCGGGTCTGCTAGCTGTAAGATACAACAGACTTCCGATAATGCTCCTATACAACTTCTGATCGACATCCTTTCCTTCAGCATCTTTAGACAGCTTGTCCTGTTGTCCCAACCGTGTTCTAACAGTCTTAGAACTCTTCATACCAAACTTCTCAACCATATTCTTTGCATACTTCGTTTGGTTCAGAAATATCCCATCAGGACATTGCTTAATTTGTAATCCAAGGAAATATGTCAGCTCTCCAATCATACTCATCTCAAATTCTGAATGCATGAACTCTACAAATTCATCCTTCAACTTCTTTGCCGTTGATCCAAAGACAATATCATCGACATAAACTTAAGCAATCATAACATCAGTACCTTTATGTTTGATGAATAATGTCTTATTTGTGGATCCTCTGGTATATTTCTTTCCAATAAAAAAGGTAGACAATCGATCATACCAAGCACGGGGTGCTTGCTTCAATCCATACAAAGCTTTTCTCAATCAGTAGACATGATTCGGATAGAATGGATCTTCAAATCCTTTAGGCTGCTCCACATATATTTCATCTTTGATCCAGCCATTCAAAAATGAAGTTTTGACATCCATTTGAAATATAGAAAATCCAAGCGAGCATGAAATTGAGAGTAATAACCTCACGGCTTCAATTTTTGCAACGGGGGCAAACGTTTCATCATAATCAACTCCTTCAATCTAAGTGTATCCCTGTGCAACTATCCGAGCTTTTTTCCTTGTGGTATTCCCTTTCTCATCATATTTGTTCTTGAATATCCACTTTGTTCCAATCATATTGATGTCATCTGGTCATTCAACCAACGACCAGACTTCAGAAAAATATATAATAATATTGAAAATAACTTATAGACACCGAAAGAGAGAGACCCCAAATATCAAAGTGCACTAAAAAGAGATTCCGTAGTTGTAGATGAATATCTTGAAAAATTAAGTACGTATTTACCAAGTTTTCAATACACACAATTAAAAGTCTTGGAACAAATTTGACCAAAAAGAACTTTATTATTCAGATACTAGACTTTACTAGAAGATGTATTACTGAAACAAATATGTCAATGAAAGCTAGATTGGTCATAGGTGAGAACTGCAGGTGGGGATAGAAGTGAGAGGCATAGAGAGACTTAAGCTCAATAATCGCCCCATCTTACCACCCATCCCAAGAATTTAACCCATTTGTGAATCTTTAACTTGCACACCACATGAAGAGAAGGTTACATTAAGACCTTGTTCAAATAATTGACTAATAGTGATAAGGTTTTATGCTGAGTCAGTGATGTAGTATGTATTGAGAAAATATAGGAAAGGAGAAGACATGAGACGTGTGAAATAATATGCATGAAAGTAACGAAAGTATATATAAGTGGTAATTGAGAGACATATGACATAGAAGACAAATAATAAGGATTTGAGATCATGTGTTTACAATAACTAGAATCGAAATACCAATTGATGTACTTAAATTGAAACAAAGCAAAGTTGGAATTGATAACCTATTTTAGATGACTTTTAAGTCTTGAAGTGTGTAAAATGAGTGTTAAGGCTCATTAATAGCATCAAATATGACTAAATAAACAATAGTTGAAAAAGAACAATAAGTCTCCCGAGGTCTGAAAGTAGAGCCATCTGAATGTTTGGGAGCAAAGTACCTAAAGGTCTGGAAGTAGGACCATCTGATCACTGAGATCTGATGGGATAGTCCGTAGAAATAGACCACATAAGTGACAAATGTGGTACTCAGTCTTCGGACATATGGAAAAGTATGATTAGAACTCCTACAAATTTGACTACTTCTAGTATTTGGTAATCGTGACTGGGGAGAGGAAACAGATTCACGAGTAGAAGAAGACACAACTAACGCAAAATCAAAAGTCGAGCCTTCTGAAATATAATCTCTTGAATAGTAGCATCAAGAGTAGAAAATGAATGTCGATGTAGCAGTGATGTAAGAACAATCTCATATTCAAGTCGAAGAACCATCAAGATCTGAATAGGTTCAATATGGTCCTCACTAGTCTCTGTCCGTCGTAGACAATATTGAATGGGCTGAACTTATGCAAAAATTCATTTACAGATTGGTCAGGTTGCTGTCGAAAGTGCTCCAAAACTGATAGTAGTGAGCAAGACTTGTAGTCTGAAATCGAGCGGCTAAAATATCTCAAGACTCATTTGCAACATAAAAAAGAGCGAGTTGCACCTAAATCATAGACACATAGGTGTTGCGCAATCAAGTAGAAATCTGGTAATTCTTACTGTCCCAATTTTCAAACTTAGTAATTTAATTATCAACCCCCTGAGAAATATGATTGACATTCACAATGCGAGATGGATGAAAAAGTGACACAATATTCCAAGTCACACTATACTATAGTTTTCAACCAATTATAAATTTTTTGATAGGTTGTATCCAAATATTATAATTATCCCCGGACAATATAAAGGTAATGGGAAAATGCACATCCATACTATCAAAATTCAAGAATAAACAAATCGAATAACCCATGGTCTCAGAATCAACTCATTACAAAGTGATATGTGAGCTTATCTATGTATAACTTGTTTGTATCGCTGAAAAAAACCTTCACATTGAGCATGTTGACATCTTCCAAATTCAACTTCAATAAACGGTGCTTCAACCCGTTCAATGATTGGAGCACTGAAATCGCGTTCCTCTTCTATTATCATATTATGCATAATTATACAAATAGTCATTATATCATGCAAAACATCTTTTTTCCAAAAACGACCAGGTCCAACAATTATTCCCTAACACGACTGTAGAACACCAAATGCACGTTCAACGTCTTTTCTACACGACTCCTGCTTTTGGGAAAAAAGTTTCTTCTTCGGACCTCGTGGATCATGAATAGCTTGCACAATTGTAGACCACTTCGGATAAATGCCATAAGCTAAATAATAACCAAAATTATATTGTTTCCCCCGGATAACATAGCTTACCGGAGGAGAAATTCCACTAGTGAAATTTGAAAATAAATGTGAATTCTCCAAGTCGTTGATGTCATTGTTGGTTACTGGTAAACCAAAATATGCATGTCAGATCCAAATATCGTAATCCGCCATTGCTTCTAGAATAATAGTTGGTGAACCGCTTCGACCTGCATATGCACCTTTCCAGGCCGTTGGACAATTTTTCCATTCCAAATGCATACAATCTAAACTACCCAACATACCTGGAAAACCACGAGATTCGCCAATTTGAAGTAGTCTTACAAGATCATTAGCATTCGGTGATCTAAGATATTGTTCAGAAAAAACTTCCACCACAGCACGACAAAGCTTCCAACTTTGAGCAACCACATTTGAAGACCCTCCCATGTTGAAATTTATTTTTACACTAGATAAATATTTTGATATTTGGTTGAAGTATGTAATATATGCCACAAATGTGCCAATTTATATAAGGTGTATAAGGATAGTGTTAGGTGGATCCAATGGCTCTCAATTGATCCATCGTGGTAGGTGAATCGGACTGCTCTCATTTAATCCATCGTGGTAAGTGAATCCAATGACTCTCGTTTGATCGTGATTCACCTATAAAAATCGAATATTGCATATTTAATATTTTTTCAGTTCGGTTCGATTTATATATTTATATTATTATATTTTAAAATCTATATTAATAATTATATTCTGTCCGATTTCGGATCGGATATTTGAAATATTTGCAAATTTGTTTATTTAATTAGAATTTTAATTTTTTATAATATGTACATTTTTTAATTTCGGTGCGGTTTGAATTATTTGTAAATATTGTACAATATTTTCGGTTACAATGCACAGAAGGAAGCATAATAGGTTGAGCGTAGTTTTCAATAAGTGCAGACTTGAATGGGCAAATTACAGAAAGATGTCAGACAATTTCTTGCATGTATAAAGAAAGTCGAGAATTTGCATCGCAGTGGAGCATCAGAATTGGATATAGTAGGTATCTCTTTAATATTTATTGTTATAAAATTTTAATAAATTTGCAATACTAACTATATTTTTTTTTTTTCTAGTTGCGAGACGCTAGACAAATGTTTGCAGAAAAAAATAAGACAAGTTTCAAATGTGATCATGTTTATGATCAATTAAAAAATTATGAAAAATTTAAAGATCACAACGAGTGTGTGCCTTCTAGAAAAATTCCTCGAAAACACAATGCAACACATGTTTCGTCATCGTCGGATTATCCAACTAGTGATTCTCCTGCACTATCTTCATTTTCTATTCATCTAGAGGATGAGAGTGACGCTGGAGGATCATCGTTCAATTTTACAGATTATGATATCGAAACTCCATAACAACACACACGTCCTACAGGAATAAAAAATCTAAAATGAAAAAATAAATAGATTAATGATACTTTGCATTGTGATGTTCAGACCATAATGAGCGACAATTCAGAAGTTGTCAAAACTTTAAAAAAATCATATGAAGAAATTAATAAGTATAATGATATTGAAAAACAAAAATTAGAATATAAAATATTTTGACGTGAGGATAAAATTTTGGCAATAGATTTTAATGTTGTTCCAAATACAAATCTTCGTATGTTATATTATAATCAACAACAATAGATCATAAGGAAAAGAACAACACAATATCAATCAAATTCGACTGGTACATTCTCGCAATTCTTTGATGGCATTGGTGGAAGTGGGGGTGATGTAAGTCCATACTAAAATTAGTAGTGTTTGTAATATATTTTCTTTTAATTTAATAAATGTTTTCGTATTTCTTTGTAATATATTGTTGTTGTATTTCTATGTACTATGTTGTTTTTAATTAAATAAAAACATTAAATTTTCTATTTATATTGATCAATTAAATTTTATTTTAAATATTTATTTTATATATGTTTATAAGATAATTTAAAATTTTATTCATTTATAAATATAAAATATTCTTGTGTGACAAATATACAAACAAAATACATAAATTTTCTTTTCAAAAAATTACTTGGAATGTACTGCAAATATTTTATTTATTTAATGTAAAATTTTTTTTATATGTAAAATATAATTTAAATTATAATAAATATAAATCACTAAATAAATAATAAAAATACAGATATACATAATTAAAATATAAATATTACAAATTGATCTTTTGTAGGGGCCAATTTACAATTTGTAAAAAATAAAAAAACTTAAAAATAAAAAATAAAACAAACACACCATAAATGGTATTGCTACAGTGATGTTGCACTGTAACAAACATAAAAATACGGTGTATGAATTAGCGTCTGATTAGAGACAGTCAGCTGCAAATATGAGATGCAACGTTAAAATTGATGTTACATTGGAGATGGTATAATAATATAACAACGAACTACCTACTTAAAAGATGGAGGAAAATGAGTTTCGAAAAGTAAAGAAGAAGAAAATCTCTGTTGCATGTATGTATTTTTATTTTATGTGCTATGTATGTTTGAACATATTATGTGCTATCTATATTACATTGTTTAAAAAGAAAACAAAAAAAAAAAATTTATATTATGTAAGAAGTAGAGTAGTTTTGTGTAGGTTGATGTAGGTAAAAAATTTAACTACAAGATATATGTGTTGTTAATATATTATCTATGTGATATATAGTATTTATAAGATATATGCTATTTATATTATAAGGATACTCCGTCCATGTTAACTTAAAATACATTTTTTCCTATTTTTGTTTGTGCTACTTAAAAGTAGTACTTCTTTTCCTTTTTCTTTTGGTAAAAATAATAATATATTAATATTAAAATATTTTTAATTTTTATTTAAATTACAAGTATATATATGTACAATTACATTATATAAAAAATTAAATAACAAAAAATATCAAAATCTCTTACACACTTCCACTCACCAATAAAATATTATTATTTTTAATTTACTATAAAATTCCAAAGACCTATTTCAAAAAGACCGAAGAATTATTATTTTTTTAATAACCCAAATAAATAATATAATAGTTAGAAAATATAATAATAATAATAATTTATTTATGACACGCGCACAAAAAATAGTACACTATTCTTGTTTATTTAAAGAGTTTATATTTTATCAATAAATAAAAATAATATTTTTTGTGATTGACTGAATAATTAAATAAATTATATAGTTTTTTATTAATTTATATCACTTAGATACGAATTTGTGCTCTTTTGTGTTGATGTAGGTGAAGAAATTCACTACAAAGCATATATTTGTGTTGTTAATATATTATTATGTGATATTTTAGTTATAAGATGTGCTATTTATATTATGAATAATATTGTTTGTTTAATAAAATTAATAAATAATTTTACGTTCTCTTTTGTTTCAGGGTAAATTATTTATATTTTTTTAATTCATTCCGGGACATAAATTCATATATATTTTTAAGTAGATTAATCAATTTTAAACATATTTTACCAATATAAATTAATTTTATTAAATTTCTAACAGCTTACATGTATTATCATTCAAAACTCCGTTATTTTTATTTATCTCACTATAATAAATAAATATTTTCATTTATATTTAATTTTTTCATTTTTTATTATATATATTTTATTGAGATGTAATGATAAAATATTTAAATATATATTCTAAATTTTTCTAATGATAAGCTGATTTTTTAGTCTAGTAATTCGACCCATTTATCATTTTGGTCTCGTAATTCGAATCTGTCGAAAACTAGATCCGTAAGTGAAAATTTTTCTCAGTTTTAATTCTCCGGCACCAGAGATGCCTACATAGCACCCGCGTGGCTCGCCGGTGGATATATGTCCGCTAGGTTAGCGACACTTCGCGCACTCGTGGGTTTAAATTTTTTTTAAAATTTTAAATTTATTTATTTTGTATTTGTTGTATAAATTATAGAATTTTCAAAAAAAAGTAAAATCTATGTGTTAGCCGTTTCGCTGACCTGGTGGACATGTGTCCCCCGCGAGCCACGCGAGTGTCACGTAGGTATCTCCGGTGCCGAAGGATTAAAATTGAAAAAAAATATTTCACTTACGAAACTAGTTTGCGACAGATCCCAGACCAAAAGGATAAAAAAAAAATCCAATTACAAAATTAAAAATTTAGTTTATTCTTTTTTTAATCATATATTTTAATTTATGTTTTAAAGATACTAATATCATCACTTATATAAAAGGTATTAAAATAATACTCCCTCCGTCCTATAACAAAGTATCCATTTTTCTATTTTAGTCCGTTCCATAACAAAGTATTAATTTTTTTTATTTTAGTCCGTCCCATAACAAAGTATCTATTTCCTCTCTTAGTAACTGTATTATCTACCTAACATTATAAATATCTTTACAACTTACAATATATTACACAAATGCCATTACCTTTTATATCACACATATAATAAGGTTATTTTGGTCATTTCTACTTTATTCCTACTATATCCCAATATAATACTAATATTTCTAAAACTACGTGCAAAAAGCAAATGAATACTTATTTTTGGGACGAAGGAAGTATTATAAATTAAATATCATTAAATAAGTATTGTAATATATATATATATATATATTTTTAACATACACAAAAATGCAGTAGTGTTGTTTGTTTATAGGGTCTATATTTTTTATAAATCAAAATTATATTTTTATGATTTGCTGAATAATCAAATAAATTATACCTTTTTGTTTTATTTTTTTATCATCTTTGTTGTGTTTTGATTTTTGTCTGTGATTTCTATGTGAAGTCATACTCTTTTATGTAAACTAATGCAGATGAATAAGTTAACTATTAAGCATTTTAATATATTTTATTCATGTGATATTTTATCTATATGATGTGCTATTTATATTATAAATGATATTGTATGTTTAATGAAATTAATACATAATATATTAATATGGAAATATAAATAATAAATTTTTATTTTTTTTACATAAAAAAAATGCAAGTGCGATTCATTTCTACTATTTATATGTTTTTAAGAAAATAAAAAATAATATTTTGTGATTTGTTGAGTAATTAATTAAATTATTATATAATTTTTTATTATATTTTTATCTTTTCTGTTGTGCCTTTTTTTAATATTTGATTTTTTATGAAGAAAGTCGTTCAATTTTGCATAGGTTGATATATGTAAAAAAGTAAATTATGAAGCATATGTATGTATTGTTAATAGAGATTTTTTTTTTATTAGTATTATTTATACTGTGTATAAATATAATATTAATATTTAAAATTTTAAGTTAGTATATAAATTTAAAATATAATAATATTTTTATTTTGATATACAATTTTTTTAGTGAGACAATTAGATTAAATGTACTTTTACATTTTTTTTTCTCATAAATTAATTCATCTGCACTGATAATTAGGCTCATATAATTAAAA